ATGACGCTGCCCTTCACCGTGCCGAGCGCCAGCGGACAGGACATCCAGCTCAGCTCCAAATACTCCCACATCACCCTGGAGAACCGGGCCGAATACGTCCGCCTGGCCATCAATTACAGGTTAGAAAACTTTCTGATGGCACAGATGGGAATTTCTTCAACTTTTTTTTTTTCCCCCGCTAATCTATCTGGTTTTAAACTCCTTGTACAGGCTCCACGAGTTTGATGAGCAGGTGTCTGCTGTGCGCGAGGGAATGGCTCGGGTGGTTCCAGTTCCTCTGCTGTCACTTTTTACTGGTTACGAGCTGGAAACCATGGTGAGGGAGAGCATGCATGGCCTCCAGGAGTCGCCCGGTGCTGCAGCTTTGTGCCGATTCTGATGGAAGTACCTCCTCCTCATCCTCCCTCTGCTTTAGGTGTGCGGCAGCCCGGACATCCCGCTCCACCTGCTGAAGTCGGTGGCCACATACAAAGGCGTGGAGCCGACGGCGCCGCTCATCCAGTGGTTCTGGGAGGTGATGGAATCTTTCTCCAACACAGAGAGGTCTCTGTTCCTGAGGTTCGTCTGGGGCCGCACACGCCTGCCCCGCACCATCGCCGACTTTAGGGGTCGAGACTTTGTAGTGCAGGTGAGGAAAGGTCCTCTGATCAACAGTTTGTCCATGAATCCGTCAATCCATTCAGCAATCCACCCAATCAGTCCAACAATCCGTCGAATCAATCATGGTCCGTCCATCAACCATCCAACAATCCGTCCATATTTTTACAGCCCATCCTATGGATCCATGGAAATGTGGTTTTGATTTGCAAATGTTAACATCTCTGTTGCTGCATTTCCAGTGTTTTGTTGAAACAAACAAAAAAAAGCTAAAACCCCGGTTTCATTTGTGTTCAGGTTCTGGATAAATACAACCCTCCCGACCACTTCCTGCCAGAGTCCTACACGTGCTTCTTCCTGCTCAAGCTGCCCAGGTACTCATGCAAACAGGTGCTGGAGGAGAAACTCAAATACGCCATTCACTTCTGCAAGTCCATCGACACGGACGACTACGCCCGCATCGCCCTCTCCGGGGAGCCCGCGGCAGACGACAGCAGCGAGGACTCGGACAACGAGGACGCCGACTCCTTTGCCTCCGACTCCACGCAGGACTACCTGACGGGACACTGAGTTTTCTACAGACGGCCAGGATCCCGTGTCCACCCCACTTCACGGCGCACGCGCTCATACGGGCGGCCTACTGAGGCACACACACGTCTGTTTTGCGGGGGAGAAAGGTGGATGTGTGAAGATGACATTAAAAGAATTATAAGCTAAATAAAGTGAAAAACACCCGTTTTGTTTTTAGTTTCTTTAAAATGAAGCGGAGCGATCAACTGCACATGTGATTGTTGTGTTACATGGAAATAAGTATATTACAGTTACAGCCTAGCACTGTGGTAGATTCCTCCCTTTTGGTTTGTGTGAATTACCCGTCCCTAGATTGTATATAGAAACTGATGTGCGATAACAGTAGGATTCCTTCTTTGTTCTTCTTTTTTAGTAACAACCATGTTTCTTTATAAATGTACATGTATAAAAACATTTTTAAAGTCGTCGTTTCTCACCCAGCTCACTCCAGTCAGAGCCCACTGAAGGATCATTTGAAGATTTCTGTATTTACCCACCAAGTTTGTGCACTGTCTCCTTAAAGAATGTATATGATTGTGCCATGTATTCACAGGGGTCATTCCTGCATATAAAATGTTAATACATTTCTGTTAATAAAGTGAAAATAAATCCTGCTTATTTAACAATGAGTGCTGCTGTTTTATACTTTAGTGACTATACTAGTAAGCCTGCTTTTTTCTTTTGATTTTTTTTTTCTGGTACAGTAGAGATTATTTTTGTTTTTAGATTAGCAAATTTTAGTAAGACTATGTCAATGTCAAATTTATTTATATAGCACTTTAAAACGGGTATGAAACTGCACCAAAGTGCTGCACAGGAACGACAGTAACACAAATAGATAAAAACAGAATATCAAAAAATTGCTTCAGTTAAAAGCCAACGAATAAAAATGAGTTTTGAGAAACGATTTAAAATGATCCAGGCTGCTAGCAGATCTAATCTGAAAAGGCAAATTGTTCCATAAATTAGGAGCAACAACAGAAAAAGCCCGACTAAAAGCATATATTTGAATAATCATTTTAGCATTAATGGAGGACGTCTTTTTTATTTTTTTTTTATTAATGTATCTAAAATTAAGTCTATAAAACATCTTGAATTCACACACACCAAAAAAAAAAAAGTTGGCCTTAAATGTCACAAGTTTTAAATTTTAATTAGTGAACCCCTGGAAGCTTATCTAAAACAAATTAATCAATTATAAGGCAGATTCTTTCTTTTTTTCAATTGTGGTATGTAACTTTTATTTAAATTTCATTTTATTTTTCACATTATTTGTTACTATATCGAGACAAATAATCTGTGAAACAGAATTGAGCTGAGAATTGAATTGAGCCGGCTCCCATCAACATTTTGACAAAAAAAAGCTGAAAACAAGATGCTTTTTCGTGTCACTCCAAGTTGACACAACATATGACAACATATGGCACTATTTCACGTCAGAAACTGCCAGGATGCAGAACAACTTAAACTTACAAAAAAAGTAAATATCTGAGAAGCAAAATGAATTCCAGTAAAGTTTCGCAATAAGGACTGAAATATTAAGTTGCGCAATACCTGCGTCACCCTCAGCATTAGTTTGGAAAGGCAAGTGTTAAGCAAATTTGACACCAATAGTGATCAAAAGTGAGATTTATATCCTGGATTATTGGGGCTAAGTCTGTCAAACATGGTACTCCAGATTAGACATGATTTCACAATCCAAAATAGTCTTCCCACTTTGATGATGTCATACTTCTTTGGTTCTAATCTCTGTTTAGAAATGACGGCCATTTGTTCCAGATCAGTTGGTGGGAGTAGGACAGGTGGGAGTTTAGAGCTGCAGGATTAAAGAAATCCCCTCTGATTACCTGTGTGACCTCAGCACTGCGCCTCGCTCTGGACCAGAGGAGGCCAAAGGTCACAGGAGCAACTAAAACTCCTGCGTAGCGTTTCAGTCCATGAGAATCTCCTTTAAGCGCGTTCGCTCATTGTCGGATCATGAGAACCTCGGCCGAGTCACGAGAAACGGACGAGAAATGTTTTTATGGCGGCTCGATTTGGCTTTAAAATCATTTGCATTCCTTGAGGATTTGGTGACCTTTCCCCCCCTGACGGCGTTATTCTGGCTCAAGTCAGGTGCTGCTCAGATATTAGATCCTGGGGGCCGGGGACCCTCATTTACAACACCTGCTTATGGATTCTGTCACAGAATACAGTGAGAAACAAGAACATCTATTTTGTTCAAGTCTAAAATCATTCACTGAAAACCTTTTCTCGGCAGATTCAAGTTTTGAGTAATCTCATGTTACACGCGCTGGCTGGAAGTGAGGCCTAAGTTTTTGTTGGTGCAATCTGATAGGAAATGTTTGAAGTGTGGAGAAAAATAACAGAATAGCTCAAAAGAAAAAAAAACAAATTTTTAACAAATAAAAGCTATTCCAGCTTACATAAAAAAGCAACAACCTGCCTTTCCCATATGATTGATAAAATAAGAAAAAAACGAAGAATCCAGCAGATCCCGACTTCACACAGCTCTGATCATCCGTCGCTGCAGGCCGTGTTTTTCCATGTGATTTCTCTTTTGTCCTTGATAACTCTCTCATCCGCCCACAAGACCAGAGTGCGCTCAGCCCCCCTGGACATCTCTTGTGCGCGGCTTTAATCCCGCTCTGTCTCAGCCGGCCCTCGCTCCAGACCAGGTGACTCCAGTCAGTCGGGAATCTCGTCTCCACCGGTTTCTGAGAACGAGGGAGGCGGAGGCTGCGAGCTCCTCCGACTGGAAACGTCGCTTCAGCAGGCAGGCAGAGCAACGGAAATGCAGCTTTCGTTTTCAGATTTTGGTTCTGAAAACGTCTCGTTCTTCAGGTTCTGTTTGTCTGCTGCAGCTGAAATGTGAAGTGGACAAAAACTGACCCATGGTTTTGAAAAGTTTTGTTGTTTCCCCCCCTCATTTGTATTTGGTTCGTGCTCCTACCCTGTGTTTAGTCCATCTTCCCATCAAATCAAAGCGGTTTCACTGTCCCTGCTGAAAACAATGCATTCCCACAGCATAATACTTCTGCTGCCATGTTTCACCTCGGGGATGCTGTATTCAAATTGGTGCTGTCAAAGAGTGAGAGGAAAAAAATATATATTTTAGTCTAATCAGAGGCCCTTCATTTTATTTCTAATTTCTATGAGACGTTCGGAACCTGTAGGACATTTAACTAAGAGCTGGGTAGTGACTAGTTACATTTACTTTTGGAAAAATGTACTTTTATTAGTATTTTTCAATTACACTTCACTTATAACACGGGAATATTGCCTTGTTATGAGCAAATTTATCTTCCAATAGAACAAGTACTTTTTCATCAATAACAAGGAATTATAGACTTGAAACCAGCTTCTATCTTGCTGAAAAGTTACTTGTTGCAGTGTGTAGAAGATGGCCCTTTTAACTCTGAGTTAGGTGTCTGTCTACGCTGCAAAAACTCAACATCTCATTAACATTTTTGACTGGTTTCCAGTGCAAACATCTTAATACACTTGAATTAAGACAAAACTAACTCCAAAGTATCTTTTCAACAAGATACAAGAGCTTGTTTTATGCAATCAGTCCATAATATTGCTAAAAATTAAATAAAATAAAGTACCAGTTTTTCCAAAGTTTTAAGAGAAATAATCTTTCAAGTGCTCTAGTACTTTTTACTACTAGTTTCCTGAGTGGAAAGTTTCCTTTTAAAGCCACGTAGACTCTGCACCACCCACTCCCCATCGGCTCCACTCGGCCCCCGCCCCTCTGAGGGCCCCGCCGCCCTCAGAGGGCTCAGGAGCGTCGCCCTCTTTTGCTGGGGAGAGCGGAGGAGAGAAGAAACTTCACCTTCTCTTGTTTTCAACCACGCCTCTGTGCTCCAGCGTTCCTGCAGCCTCTTCATCCCACCCCCAGCAAAAAGAAAAGTATTAATCAAACTCAAAGCTGAGAATAATTTGGATTACTGAAAAGTAAAGTTTTGCGGCAGATTTTTGATTTTTTTTTTTTTTTTCCTATTCGGATCCAACACCTTTTTCTATCTCTCAAGGTGAGTTCATCTGTTTTACTTTATCATCAAAAACGCAAAATCTGAGTTAGTGGAAAATGCAGAGAAGTACCTTCACAGCTTTGAATAAACGACTCTTTCCACCAGGCGTCAAGTGAGTTTCTGTTTAACAAATGACATCCGTCGTTTCGCAGAGCCCTGCTGACAGATTATGGAGCAGGGACCGGCCGATAAGTTCAGTTCGCTTCCAGCCTGCAATCTTCAATTGCTGTGAACAGAGCTGGAAAAACCAAAAAGAAAGCAGTTTGTTTTATTGACGTCACAAAGAGCCTGCGGGGCCCGGCGCCCAACAAGCCCGTCATTGTCCCCGGGAAGGACAGAGAGCTTCCCGCGTTACATGAGGCTGGACTGACAGCAGGAGCTGAGACAGTCAGACAGTCTGACATCCTGAATGTGGTCATTTTTGATTGTTTGGATAATTGAGAAAAATGAGTGTGGAGGTTGTTTTAGTTGGGATCTTTGCTTGTTTCCTGCTGAGTTGTTATTTTTGACAGTAGTTCAGCTCACTACTTAAAGAGCCTAAATGTCATGTGAATTCCTGCTGTCTTTCACATGAGCATTAATCCTGTTGGCTTCATGAGGTCTTTATTCTTTTAGAGGGCTGTTTTCGTTCTCTTAACTTCACTCTTCATTTTCTGTTTTCACCTGATTTAGTTTTGAGCAGGAATCTGTCTAACTAGACCGATGTCTCTCCCTGCTGCATACAGTTTATGCACATTTCCCCTAAAATTCAAACCTAAAATTCAAACCTTTTCTTTAAAGAGGTTGGAATAAAACCAAGCGCCGTCGGCTCCTGACATTGAGAGCTTTGAACTGTTGTCACGGTGCATTCACAAACTTCGCTGACCTCTGTTTTTATTTTATGTACCAAACGATCACAAAGCTGTAGTGAATTAGAAGGAAAATGATGCTTGATTTTGAAAATAAAATAAATAAATAAATGTAGCGTTGAGATTCAGTGGTGGTGTCAGCATCATGCTGTGGGGAGGGAAGTGGCTTAGTCAGATCAAACTGGATTAGACTTTAACTAGGCCATTTTACACATGAAAATGCTTTGATCTACATCAGTGCTTTACAATCTTTTTTCCTCGTGTGCCACATAAAAAACCTCCCAAAAAGCTATAAAATCCCAATAATAAACAATGAATATGAAACAAACAATGAGGTTTGCAACAAAAATAAAAGCATAGAAACGACTGTATTGCTGGAACAACGAAGATGTGTAAGACTTTTTAAAAGAAAGGAATGCAGTTTATTACATGTTTGCGGGCTGGTTGTTTTCTTGCTGTATTGAGACAAGTTTAATAATTGAGCGCTCCTAAATCTGCCAGATCTACCCCATCCTGTTTATTGTCTAGGTGTCTAGGTAAGTAAAACAAAGAATTTTATTTAACATTTTCAGAGGAAATTAGTTAGTCGTTAAAAATGCTCCTAGTTTTAAAAAGCGTCTCTCTGCGTCGTGTACGTGCTCATGGGTCATTTGTGCCGCCAGGCCAAATTTCAGATTTTTATTTGTTGACATTTTTTTTGCAGGCCGAACCTTCAGTTTCATGAACTTGCATTACTTTGTGTTGGGCAATGACATTTTTTCCATGACAAAATGTGGAAAAGCTTCTATAGATAGGAGTGCATCAATATTACCAAAATGATCTAGCAATTATTCCTGGTACATTGAGTTCTGCTTAGTGCCAAGCAACAAAAATCTAATTGGGGAATTGAAGAGGAATCTTTTCAGGCAGAAACGCTGCTGGCCTTCGTCGTCTTCATTCATGCCGTGGATCACATGACGTCTGGCGGTGAAGCTGCAGCAGTGTAGCACCTGACTGCAGAATCGTCTTACGCCTCGAAGCCTTCAGGGCCTCCCCGCATTGTTTCTTGTTATTCTGGTCTGCACTCTTTCTAGTTAAGTCATGCAACTCTGGTGGAGTCACTCGAAAAGAGGGACTGACTGGAGCAGCAATCAGTGGTTTTGTTCTCCTTGGATAAGTCAGTCAGTGTCCTGCAGACTTTATGACAGTATTCATGCGTCACAGCGTTTAAAATATGTTGTTGCATCACAGAATTAAACTTCAGTGCATTTTATTAGGGCTGTAGTGATACACTAATCACATGATACAATACGATATGCGATATTCTGCTCACTATTCGGTATATATCACGATATTGAGCGAACGATAGGATTCAATGCATTTTAAAAATTTTCTGAAAGATTTCAGAGGAACAGAGAGATTGTGACTGTTCCATGGACTTGGATTGAATTAATTAAACTGATGCTGTAATACTGCTGTAATAAATGTTGGTTTTGTTATACGTTTGTTTTACGTTTGCTTTGTTTAAATGTTAATCGTGTGGCTTTGTGTATTTGGTTGTGCAGAAGCGGGAGCATTTTTTTTTTTGTCTTATTCACTTGTACTAGATAATGTAATTTATCTATTTCATTTAATCATTTTACTGTAACTGTTTCATTACATGTCATTTTTAATGTACATGTGCAATTGGGTAAAATTGTAATGTGTGATAACTGTCATTTGACATAAAAACTCAAACTGATACATTAAATCAATACAGGATTTAATGTATCGATACTCGCTGATGAAAAATCGATACTTTCTGAGGATAAATGTTGTAGAATTGATAACATCACACAGGCCCAGTCCTTACTAGGTGAGCTTGTTAAAAACATCTTTGAAAAAAATGTTTTTAAAGATGCCTCGTTTTCCTTTTCGTCACAAATCTGTTCCGTTCCTTTGTTATGAAATAAGTTCACCACATCGGCTGAAGGAGCTGGTAAAACGGAGATAACCTATTCTCTTCTCCTCAGGCCTCAGAATGTATCTGGAGAACAAAAGCAACCTGGAGATTGAAATGTCTCAGACGTCGGCCGCGGGCCATCAGGGCAGGAGCGGCCTGAGGTCGCCGGAGGCCGTGGCGGGGAACTTTGGGGAGCTGCGTCTGCTGCAGGGGATCTCAGAGAGAGGAGACACCCAGAAGCTGCAGCCTGCAGGACAGTGCGTCATCCATGCTGAGGACCTGGTTCCGGTTCGACAAGAGAACGGGTACGTCCCTGCACCACTTCCTGCACACAGACTACTGAAGTGGACGCCAGTGCATCGTCCAAATACACTGCTAACTACTGGCCATCCACTGAAATTGCAAGAATATGTTTTGCTAAATCCAATATGGCAGACAGATGAAAAAACAACTCAGGAATATCCAGTTCCTTCTTCCACATCAAGTATCCCCTAATACCAGAGATGCATTTTCCAAATAACAACTTTGTTTTTGGAAAAAATTACAACTGCTCACCTAGAAAAACCCCCCAAACTTTTTTACATTTTTTTCCCCCTACCTTTTTTTATGCCTCAAGAAAATCAGAAACAGAAAAAGAAATTCTGATGTAAAGGATCATAATTGATGCATGAAAGGGCTAATATAACACTTCAGATTGGAGTCAAACCTGGTTCTCTTATTTGCGGTACTTGTGGGCATCGAGAGAGACTCCCAGCGAATGCCAGGTATATACATACGGTTACATGACCCCAATAAGAGGTTATGTTATTGTGTTTTCTGTGGGATTCAAAAGAGAATAATTGCAAAAACCAGACCAAAGAAAGCTGTTTATTTTTCTATGAAGTTATTGGTAATGGAGTAGAATTCAAAAGGAGCAAAGTAAGAAGATTCCCCCTCTCAGTTGCCCGGTTCATCGGAGATATTTGGAGCAAAATGAGAAAAGTGTGTATTAAAAACCCTGAGCTGAGCCCCTCTCTAGAGGAGCATGTTTTCTGCTCTCATTTGCTTCATTTCTTGGAGAAAAAAGCTAACAAGATTAACGGCCTCTCTTTCTTCTCACTGGATTAAAGACGTAACGAGATTTCAAATCACACATGCAGAAAGACATTACAGTTCACCTCCTACCAGGTCAAATGTAAATCTTTGAATCCCGCGGGGATGAGTGAACATAACAAAAGACGAAGAAAAAACTTTAAACATTCCTTGAGAGCTACGAACAATCACACAGACCGAAATGTGTGTGAAGGTGGGTTTCGATCCCAGGAAAGAGTCCCTGGGTGGAAAAGAGCTAATCTCAAGCCCGTGGCCGTGACGTCATCGGAATTATACTGAGGAATTAGTGAACTAATTCGATGCACAAACGATACCAGAGTTTTCTCGGCAGACAGGTGCATTTGAATCGTTATTATTTCAAATAATCAGGTGCTTCAACAATCACGTTTTAACCAAATAAAAATGTCACGCATGCAGAAATGTGAATCAGCCCTGGAGTCGTTCAGAACAGGAACAGAGGATTTAAAAAAATGGCAAAAAGTTGAATGACATCAGAATACAGAAGCATTGACTCCCCAAAGTTTCCTGCTTGAGGTGTTAAAGCATCAAAGGGTAGCGCTGGAAAATAATTGCTTCTGAAAAAGATGTCGGGTTATGGGTCAGGAAAGAACTGAAACATGACAGGAAAACAATCCTCAGGCTCAAAAATGAGTCAGAGTAAACAGTGCTTGCAACTTTAAATGATCAAATACACCATGTTACAACAAACATCCATTTTTACCAACTCAGTTTATGTACAAAAACTACTTAACAAAAGAAACAGGCCATTAACACTTGAGGAACTTACAAGTTTGAACAAAAATATTCCTTCCCATGTGAAGATCTTCAAATTTTGACTGAATATAACACGGCTGGAGCCAGAGCTTGAAGATGGCCGGCAAACAAACAGAACTTTGACAATCCACTGATGTCATTCCTACAGTCAGACCAGGTGATGGCAGCATCATGCTTTGGGTTTGGGAGATAAACTAGCGCAGATGGAAACATCTGGTGCCTCATGTGACCTTGAAACAAAGAAATACTGAACAACTCAGGACAGCAGGAGACCTGATGAAGTTCTCCTTCCACCTGATCTTCATCATCAGCACTGTCTTCTTCGCCTTTCTTGTTCACTTCATGTTGCTTTGAATGCTTTTGTTAAACATCGACTCCCTACAGCTTCAGTGTTCCGCTTTCCTTTTCTCCAATCACAAACTTCTTGCTTTCACAGACGCCCATTTGTGTTTTTCTCTAAACCAAACATCCGTCGCTCCGGATTCTCTTCCAAATGTTCCTCATAGGTTCACTAGAGGTCACATTGTTCTCTAATTCTACCAAACAGTGTGTAAGAAACTTCCAAAGGACGAGTCAGACAAGAGAAAGAAAAACAGTTTTCAAAATGAAATGCAACACTTAGTTCGTCCACAGCAAAGAATTGAGCGAATCAAGAAAACAACAAAACACACAGAATCGTGAAAGCGCTGTGAACGATGTCAGCCGGCGCTCCTCTGGTAGCAGTTGTTCAGTCAGACTCACTTGGCAGGAAACAGTTGCTTGATTACATGTTTGCTTCTGTCTCCTGTCCAGTATTTGCTGTGCTTTTAGCTCCTGCTGGCTATTTGCTGTCGTCTTCAGGCTCCCGATTGGTTTCCGTGGAGCTCTGCAGAGCGACACAATACGAACCTGAAGCAAATCCTCTGATGTCGGTGGAACAAGCAGACATCACTGTTATTAATGAGAACCTGACATCAGGACGTTTTGCTGAGGAACACCTGTTGTGGTCTGTCACAGGTGTTCAGTGAGGTTATGGCTTTAAGGTCATTCTTTCACAAATGTTTCTTTGAAGCAGTCTTCATGGTTGGGTGTTGGATTCATTTGCAGAGGACTCAATAGGAGAAGTCATTTCCCCCAAATGAGCCGGATGATTCTTTCCAATTTCACTCTCCTGTTCTTCTGTCCGGCCACAATCTGCTCTTAAACGCTTCAGTAAAGCTCGGCCTCTCTGCTGAGACGCACTTTGCCGGAGTTGGACCGGGACGTCCGAGGGGAGGAAACGTTTGTAGACTTTCGCTAAACCTCTCTGTAGTTGTGTAAGCGTGTCGGCGGGGAGATTAATGGGACAGGCCGAGCCAAATGTCATCTAGTTCTCTATCCCACAACCTTCAAACACAAAGGGCCGTAGTGTCTGCGGCGCAGTTGGTGACGCCTACCGGAGTGGACGCCAGCGTCATAAGCAGGGAGGATAAATGTAACTAAATGTCAGGTTTATGCTTCTTGTTGTGACGCCAAACAATCACCAAAATAGATTTGTGGAGCTAAAATTACAGCAGAAAATGTTTAGAGACTGCGATAAGTTGATGTTAACCAACGAACACTATCCTGAGTCCTTTTAATGAGAAGAGTTGTATAAAACTGCTTGTTTTATTTAAAAACTGAACACTACAATTTCAGAAATTTGTGAATGTGTAAATTTGAACTTTACACAATTGAACACCTTTCGATTTAGTATCAATAAATTTAGTTTGAGGCAAGTATGAATAGACTGATCATAGCACCTGTTACTGGGTCGGATATGTTAGGCAACAAATAAACACCTACAGTGAGGATAAGAGGCTGAGACTCACAGATGCATATAAATCAAACTCGTATAATGTGTTTTTATGTTTAGTAAGTTAACATGTGCCACCCCAGTCAATCCATCACCTGTCATGAACATGTGTAAGTCTTCATGACCATTTATGACTGTTGCCATAAAGTGTCATTCGGTAAATCAAGACACTTTTAATACAAAGTTGACTTTATTCAAAACCTCTTTGTTATTACTACTTGACATTAACCAGGAAATCACAAACTGACATAAATTTATCATAAAAGTGTTACTGATTACACTTTAGAATGATGTAGCTTTATGTTATCAAAGCTAAAGTTTAATCAGTAATAATTTTATCACAAATTTAACCTGGGAAATCTTCCATTTGCCAAGATGTTGCAATTTTCCAAGCATCTACCTGCATTGTTGTGCCAGGCAACTGCCAGCATTTCCAACATACAATTTAAGTGTTGAGATTATTAAACAGGTCCAAACACACATTTCAAACAATCCAATTAAACAAATAGTAGATATTATAATAGTGTGTGAGGTTGTGATAATCCGCCAGGATTGTTAGATCAGCTGTTTTCTGATCTGTTTGGCGTCAGACTAACAACTTGCTGACAACCAGAGTTTGTTTCGTGTCGTTTATGTCAGCTCAGATGTTTTCCAGGCTATTTCAACTCACAGTGCCCTTTTGCTTTATTAGTTTCAGGAACAATTTCAACGCTGTCAACTTTCTCCGAGGAAAAGCCAATTCAGCCAACCTTACAGAACGGTCGCCTCTGCTGCGATTCTCCCAAGATGACAGGTGAGTGGTTCATCTGCCTTTTGTTTTTGGATGTTTACCTGAGATTTAAGATTTCTGTGTATTAACCCTGCATGCATTTTTATGTGGAATCAGCAGCAGCGGAGACTGAACCTTTGAAATTAAGAAATCCCACAGAGAGAACATGCACGTTCCAAACTTCTTGTGAAAGTTTCAGCAACTTCAACTTTTGCGGTGCCAGTGGGACGACTTATTAGGACACAGCTTTGTTTTTTCCACCAACCATCATCAGAATGCAGTGTTAAAAGGAAATGTTGAAAGTTAAGGCACAGCTTTTAATCATGAAGACAACAGACAAGGTCTTGACCAAATGCCGTAGTTTTTTGGTATCAGAGAGACAGTCCGAGCTCATATCCAAGTCAATTCCTCCACCAAAAAAACGTCTCCAGACCCAAATCGGACATTAAATGTGCAGCAGGAGATGTCAAATCATGAGGAAGAGTCCAAACTGTGCAGGTTGAACGCAGCAATTGAATCAAAAAGTGCATCAACAAAGCACAATTATGCAACCCGATTGCCGCAGCATTTTGTTTTACATGACAAATATTTGGCATTTTAACAAATGTGACTGCATTGAAAAAAAGTTCTATTCTTGGGTTTCTGATCCCAAAATTGTCCTTTCCTTGCCTTATTGTTCTTCCAGTATTACGTACATGACAGTACATGAGTCCAGCTTCGTTGGAGCCGAGGAGCCGTGGGACAGCTGCTGCATGGACACAGAGAGACGTTACCGCCTGGGCAGCGAGGTGGCCAGTCTGTCGCGCTCCAACTCCTCAGAAAAGTACGAGACGCTGGAAAATCTCAACCGCAGCTTCAGACTCGCCAGCAGTATAAAGTGCGACTCCCCGTCTCTTCTTACATCATTTATTATTCTGGCACATCATACATGTACATTATGAAATCAAATCTACAGGGTTTGGAGCCGCTGACATGCAGCAGGCTCACAGATCATCTATTTCTGTGTCCTGTCTTTGTTCTCCCTCCAGATGCTGCCTCAGAGTGTCCAAGGTCGTGGCTATGTTTGCGATTGTTGTTCTCTCCAGCGTAAGTTAGTTACAAAAAAAATAAAAATAATTCAAGGAGACTGAAGCGGCGAACTCTAAACTAATGTTCTGAGATCCTTTGAGACGTTCAGCTCTTGTTTGCTTGTATTTTAAAAAGTTTCACTGAACTCATTGCATTGCTTGAGAATTAGCCTTATCAAACTCTTTGAAATCCACCAGAGTTTGTGTTGATGTGCCCTCCATTACAAATGATGGAGCAAAACAAGTTTGTGTGTCTTGACTGCAGCGTGAAGGAGTCCGGTAGCAGCGCAATCCCATCAATTTGTCATCATGACAAGTGCATGTTTTACATCCGGTTTCTAGAGCGAGGGTCTGTGAGTTCAGTCCTCAAGGGACCTTTAGACGAGTCTTTGGTTCAATGCACCTGAGTCACATGACCGGGTCACTAGCAGGACTCTGGAGGACTGTACTGCAAATGAAAAACTGAGTCAGGCATTCAGCCGTTTTCTTCAGGTGTGCTGGACTGGAGGCACATCTAAAAGTTGCAGGACCCTAAGATATTTGGTCACATTTCACAATATCTATTAACTCGGTTAAAATAATTGGCAATTTTGCAACAATTTTTTGTGACTGACTGATGGTTTCCATCTGGTCTCAGCTGTTCTTCAGTATGTACCCGGATCGGGACGACCCCTGGAGGATGCTGGCAGTCTCTCCGACAGACAGCTTCTGTATCCTTTCTGCTGTTCAGTAGATGCTTTTTTTAAAGGACGTTTTTGGCGATAGTGACTTTTATCTGACAGTGAATTGACAGTAAATTGGGTTGTGAGAGAAGAGGGACGACAATAGGGACAGGACTTGAACTTGTGGCGGCCTCATAGAAGGCCGAGGCCGCCGTACATCGATCGCGCGCTCTAACCCTCCACATCGCCGTGGCCCTATGTGCTGTAGGCACTTCTTCAGTCAGAAAGACATAAGCATGTCACATATCGAACAGAACTTCATAAAACCACCGGTGAAGAGGACAAGCGTGGCGCTCAGCACACGGGCATGGTGGAGGATTCACTTGTCAGCAAAGCGTCTGCATTTTTCTCTTGACGGTGCCCGTCTCTCAGCCATGAACGTGACAGACTTTCGGGACAACGCCTTGCTGAAGTTACAAGTGGCGGGGCCTTTTGCAGGAAGGGCTGCGGACTCCGCCTCCCAGGAGTTCATCCTGATCCAGGTGGAGCAGGCTGAGGAGCCGGGCCAGCGGAGGAGGAGGCCTCAGCAGGTCAGAGTGGCCATATTGCCAATATACATCTTGGTCTCAGTTACGGTTATGAGCTGTGTGTGATGTTATATTGGTCTTGTAAATGTTACTCTGCTTTTATTCTTGATCCTGACGCTGTCTGCTCTCTTTTCCCAATTAACCCCGCTGAGAGGTTTTCACCTTAACAGTTCTTGGATAAATCCAAATTCTTCTGCAACATTTATGATCATGATTTGTTCTGCTGTTTTTTACCAGGTGACTCATAACTGGACCATTCCCCTTCATCCTGAACGGAGCGACCAGAAGGTGTCAACAAGAACCTTTGAGATGCTCAGCAGGTAATCGGAAGATTTACTGTGGACTGAAAAAGCTTTCACAAAACCCCGCAATAGAAAACTACACACTGTCCCCATATGTACTCATTTGCTTTCCCAGATGAGCCAATAGGAGTCTCTCTGACTTTATCCGAGACGTCTATAGTCTTGCAAATAGAGAAAACCTGTGCAGAACGTTCTGTTGTACTGCAGCAAGGCAGGATGTCTTCCACGGCACAGGACCCTTTACCTGAGTCAATCCAGAGCTGAAGAGCTGGTCTGGGTCCGGCTCCCTCCCTGTGAGCTGCTGAGGGCTGATGGGAAGGTGGATGGAGCTAAACGCAGAGCAATCTTTAAGTCTGGAGTGGAGTTCAGCTGTTCTGACCTTAATCCGAAGTAGAATTTGTGGCAAGACAAGAAAAATGATATTTGTGGCCATCCTCCATTCACTCTGGTAGAACTTGACCTGCTTTGTAGAAGAAGAATTAGCAAGAATTTTATTCTAAAAATGTATAAAGGATGTTTTATGCAGTATTGACTCAAAGGAGCTGGACACTCATTACACTTTCAGACTTTCTTTGTGAGAAATTCGTGTCACATTTTCTCTAGGAAACGATGCACTGCTGTGTGTCAGCCCATTACATAAAATTCAAATAAAACTCACTGACATTATCAGAGCACTGTATTCTAACGTTTTAATGCTCCTCTTTCCAGCGAGGCTACCTTTAACATGACAATAATGACTTTTATGTCCCTTTTAAGAAATCGCCGTATATTTTCACCTGACCTTGAAGAAAAGCCTGCAGCCACATTTATGGAAACATGCAATGAAAGAAAATGATCCTCCATTTTCTTTGCTGCTGTGCCGTTTCATTTCCTGCACCTAGTGACCCCATCGTCATCACGATTCAGGCCTTCCTGCAGGATAACGACGTCGTGCCTCTGTCCATGACCCACCAATCGCTCTACGTTACGAAGGAGACGCAGGTGGCTATTGCGGGAGTCATCCTGGCCGGGGTCTATGTTCTCATCATCTTTGAGGTAAATGGCCTGCTCTGCTGCCGGTGATGAACGGGTTTTTGTCCTCTGTCTGTGGCGCAGTTTGCAGGATGACATCCTGAAGTATTTAGAACACACAAGACGTTGTTACAGGACCGGCAGGAACACACCTGTGCTTCTGTCTGGAGAGACATTTACTGTTTTTTATGTGTCTCTAATCGACAATTTATCTAAAATGCAAAATGCATACATATATAGTTCTTTTTCTGAGTCTGTATACTCCAGTTGACAATTTATCAGTTACTAAAATAATTGGTTAATCACAATTAATCCAATTAAAATCACTTCAGCCCTTATCAGTTGCATTATGTTTTATGTGAAGATTCAACTTTACTAAGTAATGATACACAACAAAGTAGCAAAATAAAAAAATCTCTGGCATTGTGTTGGGAAAACGAGTTTGGTTTCACAGAAACGTCTGGCTTCAGCTTTAAATGACATGAACTAAAATAAAAGCTGGCATCCATGATGCTTCGATGCTTATGGAGTTTCATATTTCTCCAGATATTTGTTGTCAACACCACGGTCCTCTCAGAAACATTTCGAAGCACGACTCGTTCCTAAAGGAGTTAGTACGTGTGGCCATTCTCACTTTTAGCTTATTAGACAAAAATGCAGAGGGAAGCTCTGTTGGTCACTCTATGCATGTCTGACTACAGTAAACACCAATGTGATTCACAGTAATGTAACAGCAGCAACGAACCAAGTGGATGTTTGTGGTAGTTTTGGAGAACTGTATGAGAGAACAGCGCCCCCTACTGATGACTTAGTTACTAAAGTTTTCTTTGTTTTTTTTTATACAAAGAACAGAATAAATCACTGAAGCACAGAGGATCCTTTTTAAAATAATAAAAAAAAATTGGTCTTGCACCAGGTATGCATGTTTGTATGTTGGGAAAGAGAAGATGACCTCTTGTTCACTTGTTTCGTCCCACCCACAGACACTTTGATTTTCCCACATTTTTCTTTTCCCCTCCCCATTGTCAATTCGCTTTTGGATTTAATTAAAACAAGGCCGTCTCCCTGATCCTGGCAGGGCGTGAACTCACACAGCTGTTCCGGGGAGAACAGGAAGCGGGAAGATGACAGCGCAGTTATGATCCGCACAGACGCCGCCGGTGTTAATGACGCGTCCACTGTCATTGAAAGTCTCCGCCTTTGTGCGGTGCAGATGGCTTCACCGAGCCTCTGCTTTATCATCCCCATCAGGTCTCAGGTTTTGTCTCGGCCTGACAGGAACGTCTTAATGAGAGAGCCCACACTGCTCCGTCATTCGGGACATCACAAAAGGAATCCACCGGTGCTGGTAATTGGAGACTAACTGGGTTCTCTATTAAAACATTCCTGGTGGACCGACGTAAAGAGCCACATTTCCATTTTATCTGACGTGACAAGAGAAAGAGAGGAGCTTTTGTTCTTCTTCTCCTCATTCATTATTTCAACGGATCTGTCCAGACAGACAGTTTTCAGACTGTCTATAGATTTTTATCACTAATAAAGCCTAATAAGGTTCATTCTAATTTGGAGTATTCAGGAGTATTCAGATTGAAGACTGTGAATATTACAGTAAAGATATTTAAAGTTTTCTCAGAGGCAGTAATATCAATGTTAAAACATGTGCCATGTTGATTTAAATTAAAATGATTTTTTGTATGATAACACACATTTTAGCTGTGTTTACATTGTGCTTATTTTGTGTCTTGAGGTTTTTATTATAGGTCAACACAACAATGTAAAAACAATCTGTTAGAGAACATTTTTTCCTACAGTGCAAGTAAAAAAAAAAAAAGAAACCAGGAAGTAAAGCGGCAGATCTTTGCTTTTGAAAACACGACGTGTCAATGTTGGTTGAGTTTACTGCTGTCCAGCCGTTCTTCAGCAGCTGTCTGCTTCATCGTCAGAGGAAGACGACTTTGAGAAATGGTCTTCTGCTGCTGTTTATCCTTGATGGCCACAAATTGGCTGACTTTGACTAGATCCTGAAACTGAACAGGATTTCCTTGGTGTGAGCTTCCTAAATGATCCTGAAGTAAAATCAGTGTCTTTATTGAGGATGTCTAAAATACCGACGTAACATTTGCATACAGCTTAATACAAACGGATACAGTAAGAACAAAGATAACTTTGGGAGCCCTTCCCCAACCTATCGATAATCAGTTTACGTTTAATCAGTTGTTTTAGGTTTCGATCGAGTGAGGTCCAAAAAAAAACTTCAATAACTCTTTAATTAACCCTCAAATATGAAACTATGACACATCCATTAAGATGGCAACTTCAGCATAAGTCACCAAACATGGTTTAAGACTTTAGTTCCTGAAACTGGTTAATCTGTTCAGATCATAAAGGAGAAGCCCATCACCCCACTGACTGGGAAATATTTCTGCCAACATGCCAGGCAAAACTTCAGATGGTTTATTTTTAGCAATAAACATTTATTAGCAAATGCTTATCAAACCAAGCAACATTCGTGGGTAAAAAGGTAAATTACCACCATTTGAAACACACATGTTGCTAAACCGTTAACTCTGTGCATCTTTTAAATTTTCAGATTGTGCATCGCACTCTGGCTGCCATGTTGGGATCCTTAGCAGCTTTAGCCGCCCTGGCTATCATTGGTGATGTAAGTCTCTTAAAAGTCTTCAGATTAGCCACCTTGTTGAGGCAAAACTCAGAGAAACCTAAAATCTGCTTGGCAGATCTACAACTGCTGGTCATTGAACGGTTGTAAAGTGTTTTCCATTTTGTCTTTGGAAATAGAAATCCTGAAGCGCTCCAGCTTTTTATTGACATACTGTGATTTAGTGTGTTTTATTCACAGAGACCCAGCCTGGTCACTGTGGTGGAGTGGATCGACTACGAGACGCTGGCTCTGCTGTTTGGCATGGTGCGATTCAGAAAATACATCAAGACGTTTTTTTTATGTAGAGTTTAAAGGTGGTCACAATCCAGCTCAGAGGAATATTGGTTTTAAAAAAATGAAAAATAAAAATGCTCTTTTTAGACAAATTGGGATTTTATTTAAATCCATTGCAGCTCCGACACAGTTAACCTTTTCCTGATTACATTGTTTTTCAGCACTCATTAAGCTGGCATCAATTTATCATCCATGGTGACTGCATTAAAAAAAATGAAGGTGACGTTGTTTTGAGGGGTGTGACCTTTTTCTTCACAGATGGTGCTGGTGGCCATTTTTTCAGAGACAGGCTTCTTTGATTATTGTGCGGTGAAGGTGAGTTCATGGAATAATGAGGACAATTAGAAATGTTTATTCTGTTAATGAAGATAACCAACACAGTCCATCAAAATGGAGCCATTCAGAGTAGCTGACATTTATTTATTTTCTTACCTTTGACTATGTGGCCTTTAAAAATAGCTGCTAAAATGTTTCTTCTGCTTTTTGTTTTTCTTTTTACACGTACAAGCCAGCAGTTGGGGTTTGGGTTTTAGTCGGGGTTTGGATGTCTGTTCCCTTTTAGAAATGAAGTCATCATCATTTACTTTCTCTTGTGTTTTTATTTTTATTTTTTTATTTAATCATATTTTATGGTTCAAACTTTGTTTTTTTGATTCTCATATGTGAAATGTGATGATTTCACATAACTGGGTCACCAGTCATAGCAGAATAATCCATTATTAGTTAACCTACTAACCTACCTAATAATATCTAAATATCTTATTGTGATATTTCTTCAGGCCTACCAGTTATCCAGAGGGAGGGTTTGGCCTATGATCATCATCCTGTGTCTGATTGCTGCCATTCTGTCTGCTTTCCTGGATAACGTGACCACCATGATGCTTTTCACTCCTGTCACCATCAGGTAGAGCGTAGAAACAAGTTTGACCAGAAAAAGCTTCTTCTTTCATGCCTGAAGTTTTAAATTGTCTCTTAAATGAAAACATGCCCTGCAACGACAAATGAGCCCTAACCGCCGCCGACGGGTGAAACGATTAATTGGATTAATCTCGGTAAATCGATTATTGAAATTATTGTCACCTGGTTTAGTGATCGATTCATCGTAAACTGAAAAACACAAACTCTAAAAAAATAATCATAAAAAAATGCTGTTTGATGAAAATCCAACAGACTCAGAGCAGTAACTACATAAATGTTTCTACAGTTATGATAAAAAACCAGATTTTTTTTGTCTCACCTGGTTCAAACTTTGCAAAAATAAATAAACCTTTTGTTAAGCACCTGTTGCTATCCATTTATTGACCTAAAAAATACTCAATAGATTTTTATTTTTTTTAGCTGCAGATGCATTTTTTGCTACAAATGATCAAACATTCACTAAAGCAATGCTGCTGTTGTTGCATTTTAGATGAAAATTGTGTTTTTCATCAAAAAAGTAATTGCATTTTTTAAAATGTGTCTTTTGATGTATTTCTAATGTGTGAAAAAAGGATTGAGTGGTTAAATGAACAGTTTTCAGAATGCGCCAGTTTATTTTTCTTTCATTCGATTAATCTTCAGAATACTCGATGGAGCAATCGGTTACTAAAATAATCGTTAGTTGCAGCTCTGAGTTACACGCCGGCCACCCCAGCAGGGAGATTGTCAGAATGAGCTGAACGTCGAGGGTCACAACATAAACAAGGCTCAAATATCCGTGTTCCAGTTCAAAAGCTTTGAAACACTGAGAACTTGAAGGACATAACACTTTCATCTTTACGTTTTCTTTTTTATTTATTTTTTTAATTCCTGCTCTGCTGTCCGCTGCTCTACGCAATCTAATCAAGCGCCATTCTGTGGTGATTTTGCAGGTTGTGTGAGGTGCTTAATCTAGACCCCAGACATGTCCTGATTGCAGAAGTAATCTTCACCAACATCGGAGGGGCCGCCACAGCTGTCGGAGATCCACCCAACGTGATTATCGTGTCCAACCAGAGCCTGCGCAGAGAAGTAGGCACTTTCACAGCTCTGTGAGCTTAAACATGAAACACTGAAACAACCCAGCAGCTCGGCTCAGCGTAATCTGACACATAAACCAAACACCATGGGAGAGCTGCTTTATGTCTTGTGTGTGTGTGTGTGTCACGGTGAAAGGAAAATTGCTGATTTATCCGTGCAGATGGTTCAGGGTTGGAGAATGACGAGCCCGTTCTGTGTAAATGTGACACTTTTGTGTCACATTTTTAATCAGGCGGGTGACGCGTTCAGTCTCTGCTTACTGAGTTAAATGAACTCGTCCCCGTCGATTCGGAGGCCGGTTCAAACACAGACACGGGTGACGTTAGAGGAAAGCGCGGCGAGGTCGAGTCGAACCAAACGCGGCTGAAAATGAGCAGACAGTCAGAGACCGGATGTGACGGGGAGACAGGAAGCTGAATAAACTGCAACTGAGGCTTGCAACTCTACAGAATTAAAATGCAGAGAAGGTGAACTAAGACTGTTTGCACACCAGATAGTCCTGTAGCCTCGGTTTGATCGGGAACCAAAATTACAACATTTGTTAAATCTTCAGCTGGGGCGGTTCGTTTTCACACCAACAAAATCCAAATCTGTGCCAACTTAACCGGTTAGTAACCAGAGCCCACGTTTTAGGTCGTAAGCAACCTAAAACATTTTCACTGTGACTTTGTTTATTGATTTATTACACAACGTTCAAATAAAATCAAACCGAGGGAAATCACCATGATAAACATTGTGGTGGCAGCGTCATGCTGTGGTTGTGCTTTTCTTTAGCAGGGGACAGGAAGCTGGTCAGAGCTGACAGGAAGTTGGGTGGTGGAGCTAAACACAGGGCAGTGATGGAAGGAAACCTGCACTAGTCTTCAGACTGGATGAGAATGTCCTAGTCTAAGTTCAGATCCAAATCAAACCGAGAATGCGTGGCGAGACTCAAATTGATGTTTGGAGACGCTCTCCATTCAGTCCGACTCAATTGGAACCGTTTTGCAAAGAAGAACGGCCAAAAGTTCCAGTCTTTAAATTGGTTCACAGAGCAGGAAGGCTCCCACTGTGACCGCGGCAAAAACTGCTTCTTCAAAAGCAACGAATAAAATGAAAATAAAACCCACTAAAACGGATCGAGGTCGATACTCTCCCACTGGTGGTTTCCAGCCCTTTACGTGGCGAATCGCTTTCCTCTGATGAACTCTGTGTCAGACGCTCAGCGAGGCTTGAAGTGGCCTGTGAGTGGCACATCCTCAGGACTCGCCTCTGATTACAGGAGACGCTGTCACTTCTAGTGCTAAACCTCAGCGTAAATCAGAGCATAATCTGCTCATTTGTTACATTGATTGAGAGCAGAGAGCTTGTAGTGACTCTTGAGAGGAAAAGTTGTTTTTAAAACTAGCCCAGAAATCCTTAAATTGCTTCTTTTTGGGAGGGGCAGCCCACATGTCTGCGTGTTTAACACGCCTACCATTATTAGCATCATTTGTAATTAGCATGCATTATACCAGTGCCATTATTCCTGTTGACTTTAACCTTAAAGGAGTAATGAAGTAAAAAAAATAAAATAAAATAAACATTTAGATTTTGAAATGAAAGAGTTGTATTTAAGTGTGTGTGATAAACCTTAAATTTAATATCTTATGTTTCCCCAACACTGTCAGCAGCTGTCAACAGGAAGAGATGAATCCTTATATTTTATAAAAATAATACACAAATTGTTTTCCTATTTAGTTTGCAATATTCAATGTTATTTGAAATGTCTGTATATTTATCTATCATGGTAGCTTGGTGCTCCTGCCAAAAGTACCAGTTCACTGTGAACTGGTACTTTTTCATCAGTACTAAAACTTCTTTCGCGCTTTTACAATCACTGTAACCACTCAAAGCGCTTTACACTGTAGTCACATCCATCCATTCTCACTCACAAACATGCACATGATTATACATTGATATGAATATCAGTGGGCAGTTTGAGGTCAAGTGCATTGCCCAGGGGCACTTCAACATGTGGCAGGAGGACCTGGAACCAAACATGCAACCTTCTGACGACTGCTCTGCCCACAGAGCTCCAGCTCCTACGTTGTGCTGAGAAATTACTTGTATGTTACTTTTGTCTTATTTCAAGTGCACTAAGATATTTGCACCAGAAACTAAACCAAAAATACTAATTATTGTTTTGCACTTTCTGATCTCATCTGACAGAGAGGAGCTTTTGTCACAGGACTGAAGCAACAAGGTGACATAGTGAGAGCATGTGACACGTCGTCATGAGTCTCATGTGAGAGGGCCGGCAGATCCTCCAATACGTTGCACTTGATTTGTGCCTGATGGTCTCATTTTCCACTTTGTCTGTAGATCCTGCAGGTGTCACTATTAACCAGTTCTAAATATTAAAGTATTCAGACTAGACCAAATAAAAACAGCAGGTTTTCTGTTTTGCTTTTGTGCTGTAAGGATGAACCTGACTTGACCTGAAGTGGACATATTGATGGTTAAAATCTATGAGCCGCTCATCTCACACATCATCAGTATTTTTTTTTACGTGCTAAAACTGATGGCAGGGTTCAGTTTGTGGCACCAGGACACGAGCAGGAGAGATTTGTGAAATCTTGACCGTTTTTTTCCCCCCTTGTGTTGCAGGGAATTGACTTTGCCAGCTTCACAGGCTACATGTTTCTTGGAATATGCCTCGTCCTCCTCACCTCATTCCCTTTCCTCAGGATGCTCTACTGGAACAAAAAACTGTACAACAAAGAGTCCATTGAAATAGTTGGTGAGTCACTCATTTGGACCACAAAGATGGTTTGATGGGCACTGAGCTGAGGGCACAAACCTGAAAGGAACGCTGCTGCCCTTGTGTTTCCGCAGCAGCTTTGACTGTAAAACTGTAAAAAAAAAAAAACCAAAAAAAAAAAAAAAACAATTCAGCTTTTAGTCTGGTTTAGGTTTGTTTTTTCTTCAGCATTTGTGACGAACTACTGGATGTCATTATGAGCGGTTTGCATAAGAGAAAGTATTTTTTATGTCACAGATAGCAGATCATTTTTTATTTTTATTTTTTTAAGTTTACAGTTTATTAACACGTTTCTTAAATGTTTTGACTGTTAAGTTCAATGTATCTACAGACCAACACAAATAAGTTAAATTGTGAAGGGGAAGGAAAATAGTTCATGTTCTTTAGATAATCTTTTTCTCGGTACATTTGTATTGAGCACTACTAAGCTTTGCATAAGCACTCTGTCACAAGTACAGAGTCGCACTGCCTCATCATGTTTCTACTCAATAACAGTAAGACAGAAAGCAGTCGTCCAAGAAATTACTCAAGTATGAAAGTATTTTTGTAAAAATGCTACTTGAGTACCAACCGATCGAAACATCAGATTTTGTGTTTTTATATTATATTGTCTTGCAGATAAGAACGCAAAGTTATCTGCAAATTATGGTAATTAAATGATTGAACCAAATAATACAAATAACATAATTACAAAAAATATATATACAGGAGGAAAAACACAATATATAAAACTCATAAAGCTGATGCAGAATGTATTGGATATGTAAAGCACTTTCAGGCACAATATGATCCACAAATGATTCAGTCAGAACAACAAAACCTGAAAACAGGAAGTCTCACTTCAACTTGAAAGGCATGAATCTATCTAGCACTTCTCTAATCATTTTCACCGCCTAAAGTGTTTTACACCAGAGCCTCATCCGACATTTACACACCGACATGTTGGTCGGCGGTGGGCAACTTGGGAGAATGTTGATTCATGACGCGTGTCAGGAGGACGCTGGAATCAAACCTACAACCTTCCGATTGCGAGACGACAACTCCACCCATGTTCACGTCTGGTACATTTATAACTAAAACATGTTTAAGTACGGTTTAGTAAATCTACTCCTAAAAGTAATTTTTCTTTTCCAAAGCGTTACTCAAGTAAATAGAATTAATGAAACTAGTCACTCCCCGAAATAAGATCTAATTTGTGATTGCAGTGCTACGAACTTTGAAAAGCGTTCTAGATGTAATTTTAAAAATCATCTTCCAATCTCATGAAAAAGAAGCAGCGGTCCATCAGTCCCTCTTGCTGGCACTGACAAACGATTCGCTCGTCCTGCAGGCTGTAATCGGCACGTAACTCGCCTCTCTTATTGTCCTGCTGTCTGAAGAACAACTCCTCTAATGCGCTGCGCCGGACTTGTTTTTATGTCTCCTTTTAATTATCTGGCAGCGGAGAAGAAAGATGCGCTCGCCCATCCCTGAAGACCTGGTGTCCGGTGTCAGAGGAAGCTCATTTAAAAGGAATTAGGAGCACAGAGTATATTAGCTTTGGAGGATGATTTTGTCTTCCATCCAGGAATCTATATTTTCTTGTGCCGTAATCCTCTTCATTCAAGGCCCTGTGGACTTACATAATGGGGACACTAATAAAACAGACATTTGTGGGAGACTCTTTTTTTCTATTCTTTCTTGTTTTGAGAAAGTCCCACCAGGGGATCATTAAAGCGGAGACCACCAGGCTTTCCTGTGGTCACCCCAGCTCTCTCATTAAAGGAGAAGCAGGCCGACTGTTTGCTGCCACACTGAGCTAAAAGAAGCCGTTCCCACTCATGAGGGGCCCGTCCCGTTCGGACCCGATAACCCATCTGTAAATCCCAACCCTGTGGACTCTCCCGCTTCTCAGCCAGCTTGACGTGCAGCATGTGGGTAAATCAGCTCTGGCCCCCCTGCCACTCCTGGTAATTGTGTGGATTTGCTTACAGGAAAGTCAGTTTTTTTTTTTTTTCTTTTTAAACTCCTCCACTTAGTTCCTGTTTAGGTCACCTAGCAACCTTCTAAAAAAAGATGGCTCCCACTGATGTTCGCACAAGAGTCCAGCATCCTCAGGCTGTATCTCTGTTTCAGGCACTGGCTGTCCCTGGGCTGGTCAATATGCTGCATTAGTCCCTCTGTTGGGGACAGTGTAACATATTGACCACCAGTGTCTTCTCATTCAGTCTCAGCTGTCAGCCCTTTTGCCCTGTGAATGTCCTGAACTTTATGGCTGTGCTGCTGTGGAGGCCCAGCAGAAACGCAAACCGTGAAAAATTCAAGTCGGTTCCAGCTCTGCTGAAGACAGAATCCTGGTCCTCGAAGATGAATCTTTACATATTTAACGCGTCATTTAATCAGAGTTCCAGCCGAATGAAGCTTTAAACAAGTACAGAGCCTTCATGATGTGCTGCAAAAGGCGTCGCGAAACAAGAAATTGAATTGCATTTAGAATTTCAGTGACTGATTTAAGACTTCCACAGAACGAGTTAGAGACAAAGTACTTCATTTTTCATTTTTCAAAAAAAGAAACAGAAGAAACATCCAATAATTACAACAGATTGAGATAACATGTATAGCAGATTTCATTGCCACTCCAGAGTGTTAATATAACTTGCAGTCAGCGGAAAAGAATTGGAAGAGCTAATTATTTATTTACATTTTATACCTTCAAGATAGTTGGATATTTTTAATCTAATATCTTTCATTTATTAATTTTTGGTGCTTTTGGTCCTCTGTACTTCTCTGCAGGAGTTGTGCATTGATGCCTTTGTGTGTTTTGCCTCCCCTAAACACGTCTGTTTGTCCTTTAACTCCAGAGCTGAAGCATGAGATCCTGGTCTGGAGGCAAACGGCTCAGCGCATTAACCCGGCCAGCCGGGAGGAGACAGCTGTGAAATGCCTTCTGATGCAAAAAGTGCTCAACCTGGAAAATCTGCTGCGCAAGATGATGAAAACCTTCCAGAGGTTAAACGAAAAGCCCACACTGCTCTTCTGTGTCACTCTCAAAACTGCATGCGTCGCATATCGTTGCACTCGTCTTTTTTGTCCGTACTTCCAAAAACAAACCCAAACGTATCTCATTTCAAAGTTTCACACATCCATCAAATAAACATCAAATGTATGTTCTGCCAGTATGGCACTCCATTGTTTAATTTTTTTTCTCTAGATTAATGCGACTTCTGTTATGTTTTTCAAACAGACAAATTTCTCAGGAGGATAAAAACTGGGAGCAAAACATTCAGGAGCTGCAGAAGAAGGTGGCGTCTTGATTTTTCCTTCAGAAATATTTCTCTCTCTGCATTGATGCTATCTGAGTAATGTCGTGGGCTGAGTCTTTGAGAGTTCACTTGAGACAAATACCATCAGATTTGTGATAAAAATCACTTTTTCAAGAGCCAAGGAAAATATGCATTATATATGTACATTTATAAATATATATATATTTTTTTACTCCACAGCACAGAATAACAGACACGGTTCTGTTGGTGAAGTGTGCCTCCGTCCTTGGTGTGGTGATCTTCATGTTCTTTCTCAACTCCTTTGTTCCCAGCATTCATCTGGAGCTGGGTAAGTGCTGCTCTGTCTTCATCAGGCCGACTCTCGCCTTTACTGACAAGTTCTACCACAATGTCAACTTGGTTATATTTTCTTTTCGAACCATAATCCTGCGGAGCGTGATTCCTAACATGCTTCAGGATGAGATGTTACAAAAGGCTACTTTGAAATATAATTTCATGTTGAGCCCTCTGTGTATTCAAACACACTTTCAGATGCGATATGTGTGGTCAGCCAATCACACGACAGGAGCGCACTCTGGCATCTGAATGTGGTGAAGATGACTTCCTCGAACTTAAACTGAATGTGTTTAGTATTATTCAGAGAATGGTCCCATTTAAAGACAGAGGACAATTTTCAGACTTTGAGTAACACAATTTTTGATACGGAGGATAACGCGCTGTGAGAGAGGAAACGGTCATTTTCATAGAGGCTTCAACATACTTGAATAAATCAGAGATTAGAAAGGCAGTTTAAAATAGTTACGTTTCAGAATAATTTTAATTAAACTATGCAGCCCACTAAGCGTATTTGTTTCTAAACTGCACTCAAATTAGAAACGGGCTAAACGGGTCGACCGGATGAGGGTTTGTCAAATTCTTAAGCACCTTTCTGAGTCAGACCTTCATAAATAAACCTCTTTTAATGAGTTTATCAAAGGCATGTTTTCATCACAACCACTTGAAAAGATTAAAGCTTAATGAGTCAACGTGGCTCCTTAGCCAAGTTGACTCATTTTTTACTTCTGTTTGATATGTGCATGATTGTGATCACCAGTGTTTTGGGTCATTATTGCAGCTATTGCAGAGCTTAGAGTTAGCGTAGCAACACGCCTGTCGGGTTCTAAGGTTGAGTAAGGAAATGACTCATCACTCAGTCAAAATACAGCCATTGTAGTTTCCATGAAGTTGATGAAACTGTTTGAGGCGTAGAAAGTGGAAATCCTCCATAAAAATGAACATCAATATGAACATATTGTTTTAATTCCAGCTGCAAGTCTTACACAGTACGTCTCTGTGAACTTTTTTTTATTATTATTAACTCTTCAACGTTGCTCATCTAGAGAGTAAAATTTTGCCCACGCCAGTCACACGTTTCCAGAGATAATAAAAGATTTCACACAGAAAGCGCACCGAAAGCAAACCAGAATGTCGCCGTTGAGAGACTCTGTTTGATTTAGTTCTGGACTTTGACTGGGCCATTCCTTGCTAAACCAGTCCCATTTCGCACGGCTGCATGTTAAAGACTGTTGCATTGCTAGAGAGATCTGTTCCAGCCACGAAAAGGTGAGCACTTCCTGATGTTGTTGAAAAACCTCCCCACACCATGACGCTGCCACCACCATGCTTCCCAGGGTAATGAGCAAGACAAAACAGTGTGTGTGGTGCTACTAAAAAAAAACTTTTGCCAGACTCAAAATTTATTTTTACTTGTGTATATGTTAATATTATTAATCAGTGTCTGTCATGGTCCTGCAAACATCATCCAAGACAAAAATGAACTTTGTGTTCTCCATTAAACCAACACAAATATGCTCCTGCTTTTAGCTATACGCGTTTTTCTGCTGCTGTGTTTGCCGTCAGGTGTGTGTGTCTGTCTCAGCGGCCGCGCCGACTTAATTACAGCCACCGTCTGGGTGACATCCATCAAACCGGAGCGACCCCACCGCACTGCGTGTGCTGTTGCACCTGGAGGGGAGCCGGCGCCCGTTCAAAACACACATCGCTCATTGAAGGCGCGCCGCCGGTCGGAGTCAGGGTTGACTGCAGCTGCAGGTCGGCCCGGCCTGATCATTCCTTCAGAATCAAGTCTCATTAAAATGTCATTAGCTTGACTTGTTAGGATTTAATTGCTGCTCGATTGTTCACCAAGTGATCCGACTCTGCTGCGGCGAGTCGGATCTACTGTAGTTGGGGCGAAAAAAAACAACTTTTTATCTTTATTTTTATAGACGACACTTTGGTTTTTTCATTAAAGGTGAAGGGTTATGGAAAATTGACTTTTTTGAGTCATAGTGTTACTTAAGCATTGTATGCTTTGTATTGATATGGTGCAGGGTTTTTTTCCCCCTTAAATAATCCAAAGTGATGATATAAAAAAATAGGTTATATAATTTTGAGTTAGCTTTCCAGCATGTTTTGTTGACTAGCTTTACTTTTGAACTTTGAACTGCAGCTTCACTGACTGGCACGGCCTGCAGACGCAGTGGGCAGCTGGTCCAGGCCGTCTGCCCAGCATTAAATGGCAGGTGGACAATGCTACCGCTAGTTGCTGGATGTGACATTTAGCTGCTATTAGGAGTTAATTGGAGACGAAAACAGCGCTGGTGTTTCAGGTAAACAGTGGTCGTCAGGATAATTCATTCAATCATTTGCCATTACACAATTTCCTCTGACATTTTCACTGGAACTCTCTGCCTTTGCGAGACATTTGGAGTCAAAAGAAACATTTTGTCCCTTATGCCGTTGAACTGAGGCAGTGACTAACAGCTCTGGCTCACCAAGGCTGATTCTTGTGAAAATGCCTTAAAGTACCATTGGGTTTTTACATTCTGCACAGTATTAACTATGTCCCCTCTGTCCTCACTCAGTAACTTTCTCAGTTTGTCCTCCACTTCTCTACGTCCCTTCAGTTGTGAAAGCCGTTCCCAAAGGTTTGAGCCAGGCCAATTATTGCCGCTCACCTGTTTAATCAAATTTTCTCCGAGTGGAAGCACATCCATTCCTCTCTCTCAATCTATTGGCACCAGCTCATGTGCTCCAGCTTAGAAAATGTTGGTGTTGTTTGTTTGTTTGTTTTTTTTAATCAGAATGAGTTCGCATTGCATGAAGGAAGTAATTTATGCAGCGTAACTTGCAAGAATTTCAAAACTATGGCGACATTCTGGTTTGCTTTCGGTGCGCTTTCTGTGTGAAACCTTTTATTATCTCTGGAAACGTGTGAATACAGGAACCAAAGGACAGATACATGTGTATGTTTAAAACAATTTGTTTCAATAGCAACGTTTCTCTTGTGATCGGATATTTACGTTTCATTGCACAAACCACAAACTTCATTGGTTTCAAGATTTCAACCTACAATTCCAACCTAATTTTCTCATTTAAAAAAAAAAGAACAAATTAGACACTCTCTGTCTGAACTAACCGAACTTGGACTGTTTTGCAAAGATGAACTGGCGACTGCTTCAGTCTGGAGACCAACTCAGTAGTCCAAGTAGGACCACTAAGACATGCAGCTCTTGCCGTAGCAACACGTGGTTCTGCAAAGTATTGACTCTGCAGGGCTGAAAGCAGAGCATCTCACTTTATGTTGCTTCGCTAACTAAAATCCCAGTTAACCTAATTGGTTAGATTAATTGGGTTAATCTGTAACCTCAAACCTGATATTTGAGGTTACAGCTGGAAAAAGTCTAACAGGTCTGAATATATTTAGAATCTACACTCTTATCATGAATTTCAAACTAAAATTGGTCTCGGATGGAGATTATGTCAGCTACAGATGATGATCAGGTGACGTTTCCTTTCCTCTCTCTCTCAGGTTGGATCGCCATCCTGGGGGCCCTCTGGCTCTTAGTTCTGGCCGACGTCCAGGACTTTGAGATCATCCTGCACCGGGTGGAGTGGGCCACTCTGCTGTTCTTCGCGGGCCTCTTCGTTTTAATGGAGGTGGTGACCGCGCAGTCCTCATGTGTGACACTTAATAAAAAGAGCGTGTCTTTGTTAATCCAAAGAGGGGAGCAAACATTAACACCTAAGAAAAAAAAAATCTTAAACAGCCTCACCTGATGATAAAAGAAAGCGCCTCATAAGTTAGCTTAGCCACACTGACAGCCCGCTTGGGTGTGACCTAAATGCAGTTTGGCAGTGAATTCACATTGTGAAAAGTAATTACCTTTTTCTCCACCGACCGGCTGCACTGTGTAGGGAAAGGAAAAGGTTGTCGACACAACGGGATCTATTTTTGCTTTTCTTTTCTGCCTTTTCAACTCTTGGTTGAAAAGGCAAGAGTTTTCTATTTGTTGGAATCATTGAAGTTTGTATAGTGTTAGACAACCATCTCCCACAAGACCACCTTCCATATATATATATATATATATATATATATATATATATATATATATATATACATTTAGATCTCAGTGTCAGGTATGATAACAAGAATGCTTTTATCTCCTTCTGATTAATTTCTGCTAAATAGAAGCCAAATTGCTTTTCTTCTCTTTCTTCTCACCTCTAAGTAATTTTCTGATGTTTTTTTCCTCTCTGCCTTCCTCATTATTGATCAACTTTTCATTTTTCAGGCTTTAGCCCAGCTGCAGCTTATCGACTATATTGGAGAGCAGACGGCGCTGCTGATAAAAGTGAGTCCTTCCTTCTCGATTCGCAGCCTGGGCCGTTGTGGCTCAGGTATCTGTTCGGCTGGCATAACTGATAATTGGGCACAGGTGACTTGATATTGCATTTTTATGCATATTGATCCTTTGGCTCCACACAAGCTCCGAATTCAATTATTTTGTTTACGTCTTTCCCGCTCCTGCCGGCGGTTGGCCGAGCTCGCTGGTCATTTTCACCCATATTCTTGAGGTGCGAGCGAGTTGTCTCTTAGCGGGGAATTGAACCAGTAATGGGGACGTCAGCCCACGTTTAGACACCGGTCCTGTCTGAGGCCAATAATCACACATGACAGGCGGTGTGCTGTTGTGGGTCCTTAAGTTGGTGAGTTTGCCCTGACGATGGACAGCGTGCCAGGTAGAGCCGCACCGTCTCTCTATCATGGCCCAACTGCAGGCAAAGGGAAAAACAGAAATAGTTTCTTTTGATCCTGTTGAAGGTGGGAGAGAAAAGAGAAGCTCAAGAGGATTCAAACCAGAGACCTTCTCAGACTTGAACGTCTGCTGCTCAAGTCCTAAACATACGGGGTGGGCGATATAGACTGAAAGTTTTATCGCGATATCTTGTAGTACTATTGTGATAAAGATAAAAGTGACCATAAGAACTATTTATTGCTTCTCCTTTCTGTAATTGCATGGCAGTGATGGCATGTCACAAATAACACTCTTTAGAAACATTCCTATTCGTGCTACTTATTTCAAAGCGGCATTTTTGCTGTAGAGCTGCTTCCGTACAACAATAAATGAAACACTTTGCAATGACGGCACTTTGAAAAGTGTAATGTTTCAGTCATTGAGGTTTGTGTTTTTATTATGCAAAGCACTTTGAACTTTGATTTGATTCAGTCACAAAACGGAGTGAGATGTGCATCACCAAATTGTACGCAGTAACTACATTTAGTGAATTTTTGTTTTTAATTAATACAAATTTTTTTTAATCATTATTGATATGTTCTTTGGACAAACAGTGGAGAAAATAGTCAAACTAACTATCCCATCAATATGGACAGTTTTGGAAGGTTTTAAGCATCATTTTTGGAAACGATGATATTATGATCACAATAAATCTGAATTCCTATCATACTACGAAATGTATTGTGGTAAATAATAAACAATGTGATAAATGCCCACCTCTTCCTGGATGTTATCTAGATTACCACACTTTTCATCCCTCCCATTGTACATAGGAGTTTTGTTTGTTTTCAAGCTCTTCTCTTGCAAAGTTTTTTCTTGGACTTTTGCTGCTTTTTCTCTCATTCTTGTCCTGCTTTCGTAAAAGCAATATTCTTAAATGTTCTTAAAAAAAAAAACAAACAAACAAGCATTTTAACGCGAAGCCAAAATACTAGAAAAGTTCATGCTTCAGTAAATGTATTCAGATTGTGTCTCAGAGCTTCAGGATGTTTTTTTTATTATTATTTATTTTTATTAACATGTATTAGCATAACTGCTAATGATCTAAAATTGATTAGTGCACTCAAATGAGTTTATTTTACATTGGAAAAACCCAGAATTTGCAGCTGGCATTTTAATATTCAGCTGCTGTCCAATGAAAAGTGTGAATGTTTCGGGGCTAATCTGCTGCCGTTTCAGGATCCAAACATTAAATAGCATCAGCTTAAATGCAGACAACTGGAAGAGCCTATTTGGTTTAATTAGTTCCCAGACTGGCTGATGTGGGAACACCATGAACTGTACTGGTTGTGCGTCGCTCTGATTTGTTTCCCCTCCCAGGCGGTGCCAGAGGACCAGCGCCTGGCTGTGGCCATCATCCTAGTGATGTGGGTCTCCGCTCTGGCTTCTTCTCTCATCGACAACATTCCCTTCACTGCCACCATGGTAGGCCTGGTCAGACTCACTGCTCGCCCAATCGGCTAAAAACAGTAAATGTTTCAATTCAAAGATAAAGCTTTGTAGGTTGACATGAAGAAATCTTAAGTTTGAAATTGTGAGAAATATCAAATCAAGCTGGTTTTGTCTTACAGATGTTTTTTTTTTTGCTTTTCTGAAAACTGAAACTAAACCACAAAAGACATCTTTGCTTTTTCTCTTGCATCGTTTCCTGCTTTGCCACAACGTGAACAGTAAACGTCCGAGCAGTTTTGTTGAAAGATACAGCAGAACATTTCCAAGGACACCTGGTGGAGCACAATAAAAGACAATGAATCCTTTCATGTGAACAGACCTTCAATGTCCCTCAATACGTTACGATCACAAACTGGAATCGAGAAAACCTTCAACGTTACCGTTTAGCTTTGTTGATGAAGTTCTACTAAAGAAAACACATTTTGCATCATTTACACTTTGAACGTTTTCTTTAAATACCTGATTTCTACTAGAAATAAAATGATTTGCATAAAAATACTCACAAATATATATCATTCTTAATTCATCCGCAAGTAAATAAATATGTCAACAGAAACGTAATTATTGAGAATTATGTAAAATTAACTTTTCTGAACTTCACATCTTGTAGTAATATTATTCTCTCATCAAAAACATGCCTTGAGTGTTGCCTTTCATCTCCCATGGCAACAACTCATCTGTGCAAAACCCTTGGTGAAACGGAGCGCTGACTTTGACGACTCCTCCTTGGACCTGCATGCAGTTTCAAAGCTCCCCCAGAGCTCCTTCAGACTAGCCAGCAGCAATTAGCAAACACCTGGTGGTACGCATCATACAAACTACCGCTCAGTGAAATGCTGATGAAAATCTTTTTAAAGGGTTGCTAGAGGAGCCATGTTGTGATGGCTCCCCAAAGGTGGAGTTTCAGAAATAGCAGGAAATTTTAAAGAGACAGAGGCCCAATTTTAAGGTGTTAAATCAGGAAGTGAAACTTTAGTCATATTTGATATATATTACATTTTTATAACAATGGAAGGTAACACAATTACTTGACCGTTCTGAGGAAGAGCACTATGTGCCTGGAAAAATATATAATGCAGCTTCTTTAAACAGAGTATTAGCTTCTTATTTCAGAAAAAAACAGTTGTCTGTTTTATTAATTAAAACCTATGTATTGTATATTTTAGTGATTTTAAATGTACGTCTGATTCTCCCAGATCCCAGTTCTCATCAACCTGAGTCAGGATGCGGACGTCAACCTCCCTGTGAAGCCTCTCATCTTCGCCTTGGCGATGGGGGCCTGCCTCGGTGGTGAGTTATCAATCTTTAATAGGAATAGGAGCGTGTGTGGTTCGGGGTGACACACCACCCAGACAGCGGGGGACAGTTTGATCCCCTTCCTCAAAGGTGTGGATCTATAAGACTGGCCTCTGGCATCAGACGCTTTAGGCGACAGCCACAGTTTCAGCAGCTGTGCTTCTTCCCTGGGAAGGCAGGGTTGTTTTTTTATTATTATTATTATTTTCATTTTTCAGAGAGAGGCTTCAAGGTCCTCAAAGTACAGCTGCTTCAGGCTCTGCTGCGCCAGGCGTTGGGCCCTTCGTAGCAGTGGCGCTCTGTTAGGGTGGGCAGCACAAACAGAAGGGGCTGTCAGAGTGTTTGAGTTTAATCAACTGCAGTATGACAGATTTTGATGGAGCTGCTGTCCACTTCCAGTCCCGCTCCAGCACCTTTTGGACACCAACACACTGGAGTCACTCACTGACTGAATCAATCGAGAGAACATCAGTTTTTAACATCAATGAATTTTAAAGACAGTGATTAGCTATTGAAGGTAGAGACAGTGGAAAACTGAACCAGAACTGCAAGCAGTTATCAACATGTTCCAAGTCCTTCCCAGCAAGTCAACAGGATATTTGAGATGCACATAATTGATTTACATTGTTTTGTTTCCTGGTGTTAAAACACAAATAGAGTCTGGTACAACAACAAAAAAATGGAAGATTATATTGTCCAGCCCTATGCCGTGTGGGTGTCAACCAGTTTGCCAGATTCATGTTGGTGGTTCGTTGGCAACACCAGAGGTTCAGTTTTTGCTCAAATGTTTGCATGAAAGAAGATGAAATATTCTAACATTTAATGTATAACTCTGCATAAATTGGACAAAAAATACTACAAAATTTAAACTTATGCATCCGAATGTTGTCATTGTAGGATCACCTCAGCTTGACAAAAAGGAGTGTGTAAATGAATGACTTTAAAAGCTCTGATGTTCCTGGCTGCATGCAAGCTTCTGACCGGAGCGGCGCGTCGTTTCAAAAAACGTAATTGTGCATCCAGAGCCAAAAGCTTCTATGGTTCCTGTCCAGCTACTCTAATGACAGACATGAGCGCCACTGAATGATCGCTACAGGAGAAAACATCGACGTGTAGATGGAGCTGAGCATCATCATGTCCACTCGCTCGCTTGTCCTCTTGAAATCTGTGACATTTAAAGGACGCATGACACATTATGTTATTGACGAACTGAAAACGTTTTCATCATCTTAACCCTCTTCCAGCAGACTTAAAAACGGCAGGTTGAGTCCAAACAACAGAAAGATTTTGCCTCGGAGACGCGTGTCATTACTGAATAACATTTAAGATGAGGACCCCTGAAAGAGGATGCACCATTTTCTTTAATAAAAACGCAACCTGAGAGACGCTCGTCTTGTTTTCTTGCTTTGCCCTTTAACTTTTGAAAGGGAACTTTTGATTGTGCTTTGACTTTTTCAAGGAGAAATATGTTAAATGTACCTTTGATTTATTTATTTTTGTGACGATCCTTTCAGGAAACGGCACGTTGATCGGGGCGTCAGCCAACGTCGTGTGTGCAGGCATCGCCGAGCAGCATGGATATGGATTTTCCTTTGTGGAGTTCTTCAAGTAAGCTTTTCTCCTTTGACAACCTGATCCTGTGCATGAAAAGTTGCTTTTTATGCACAGGATCATGTTTGGGAACGCTGTGCCACGGGCCACTCTGCCTGAAGGAAGTACTTACACATTAATATCTGTCATATGTCGGAGTGCGAAGTGCCAACAATGTGCAGAAGCTGCAGTCTTTCCCAAATATGATATTTCAATGGCTGAGTCCGCCGAGAGTCATTCCTACATTTTACAAAATAACTTTTCCAATTCTTATCATATTGTAATTCCAAACTTCAAGCTAATGTGTTGCTGTTTTATTTGATTGAACCACGCAAACAAAAACAAGCAACTGCAGCTTCTGCACAATGTGTTTGGATTCCTCTGCATGCAGCAAACTCTCTTTCTCGTTGCCTAATTTGATGTTTTGAAAATAAATTTGCCTCATGAAAATACACCGATTTTTAAAAACTTTATTTTTCCTATAAAGAGTTTTGGCTCTACTCGGTTGAGGTTATTGATCTTATTTTTTGGCCGTATCGAAATTGGTTTATTTTGCAAAACTGCATAACACGAGTCATGTGATCAACAAGTGGACGTTTCCACTGCGCAAACCACGAAGAAGAAGATGATAGGAAGTAGTTGGAGAATCGCGGACATGTTTTTTACCGACTTACTGTATAAACAAGCTGATTCATGTGTGACATTAATGTCTTATTTGAAGGAAACACCGCAAGTGTGAAATTGCGTCTTCTTCACGTAGTTCTTCAAAGCAGAGTGAACGGAGATATCAACTGGGTTCTTTGCTGTACTTCAAGGAGTTTATGAAACTGCAGTATCGTTCAGGAAAGAAGTCCACAAAACGTGAAGTCAGACTCGCTTTAGGCTTGCTGTGAGAGCTCGCTGATGGTTGCAATAAAAAACAAAATGCCATTTTATCTGAAGCAGGCTGCCTCCCCAGGTTCCACCTGCTCACTAATAATTTCCTCTCCAGTGATGTAACAGCCAGACATACCTGCAGTTTGCCCGTTAGAGAAACAGAGGCGGTCAGCAACGATGAAAGGTTGATAAATACGAGTCTGATTAGGCCTAACATGCAACCGTTTGAAATATTTTAAGAGTTTGACTTAAAACGCTCGGAGTAATGATGAGAAGTGACAGACAGTGATGTGGTGGCTGGAGTAAGACTTTTCAAAACTGTGATGCTTCTATTAAAGAATTTCTTCAGAATTTGTGCAATTTTATGGATGAAGGAAACACAGCTACTGTTGCCCTAAGTACCTCAAATCATTTCATGCTGAACATGTTTACACATTGTTTAACTTCCTGTTCATTTAGTTTTTCAGTGACAGTAAAGCCAATTATATCGCAAGTACTACACATGCCACCTGTGTTTTAGGTGAACTGTTTGCATACACACACACACACACACACACACACACACCACACACAACACACCACGCACACACACACACACACACACACACACACGCGCGCACGCACACACGCACGCACGCACACACACACACACACATACTGCCTTACTGTGCCTTACACATAGGAACAGCCATCTGCTTTGAATCTCATTGATAGTGATAAAAACGTGGGAGCTGTCAGTTCGACTTCCCCCTCTCTTGTAGTCGTGTTTACAGTGGCTAGATTGAAGCACTGCCCTTGGCTGCAGCGCTGCCTGTAATTGGCCGTCTGCAGTGAGGGTCACAGCTGCTTGGGTTTGGGGTGTTGGGGGAGAGAAGTGTGTCTGAGCCTCCAGACAGCTGGGACTAACTAGTACAGTATCAGGTGGTTGAGCCGAGGGGCCAGATGAGCCCAGGAGGATGTAGATGCCTCTTTGATGGGTCATCACAAAGGAAGCTGAACGACTCTCAGTAGCTCAGATCCTCTTTTAGTTGCTTATTTCATGCCTTTGTTGTTATTTTTCATCTCCATCAAAACTGCGAAACAGTGAAAGCATCAGCTGTGTGTGTAGCTTATACTCCAGTTGGAAGGGAAGTGACTACGGAGCCACCCAGTTGCTAAAAGTGTTTGGTTATCCAGTAAAATACGTGTAAGGCAGGTTGAATGGACGTCTTGATCGCAGCACAATCTGCTCATCTGCGCATGTGCTGAAGAAATACTTCTGGATTATTCCTGAAACTTACATCAACAAAGTGTAACATATTTATTTATTATTTATTATAGCGTTTTGATTCCACAACAAGTAGTATTACTTATCGTAGTAATACTACTTGGAGAAATTATAGATTCAACACATTTGAACAAAATTGGTATCAAACGTTTGTGCTACGTTGTGCTGGTTTGTGCAGCAGAAATTTTTGATTGTGCAGGTTTAGTTTTGAAGATATTAATTAAAGTTTAAAGGTCAAAAGGTCAACCAGCCCCCCACCCCCCATCCACTTTCATACAATCAAACAGAATAGGTGTCAAACAGTTTGGTTATTTTTGTTGTGGTCTGTGCAGCTATGATTCTAAAGATATCAAGAAAAATGTTTCTAGTTTCTAGAGGTCATCAAAGGTCAATGGACATCAGTTCTTTTATAAACAGTTTATGCTAGTTTGTGCACTGATTTGAAGTCGTGAAAATAAGTGTTGATGATGACTGTCGATCATGAAATTCAGATAGTAACAGCAGACTAGAAAGTTAGCACACGTTTTGCTCTAGTCCTGTTGTCAGTACAGTCTGGGGCCGTTCTCCTACCAGGAGCGGCTCTGGAGCAGAGCATGTCGGCCATTATCTCCGTCACGCAGCTTCCACGGTGAAAGCGAGCGCATCCCTCGGGTTTATCTGAAGAGAGCTTTTCAGATTGCATCAGGACTTTCAAAGAGCTCCCCTCAAATGCAATTAAGTCAGCGTGTGAGTACGCAAGGCAGAAAGGAGAGTTTTCAGACAAGGTGAACCGGGTTCCTCTCTGTGCCGGTATTATGGCAACTACCAACTACCCCCCCCCCCACACCCACACACCCCACCCCTCCCACCCTCCTGCTCTCTGTCCCTTCATGCTGTGCCTGTGATGAGGAAATGGCGATTGCTCAGCAGAAAAGGATCCAGTGTGCAAAGGTGACCCTCGTGTGTCTGACAGTGATACCAGCTTAGATTTCCTCCTCCATCCATCTTAACTGGACATTCGTTCCACAACCGCTGAGCTTTGACCTTGTGAGGCTGTTCCTGCTTCAACACGTCATTTTTGTTATGAAAAGAAAAACCCACATATATATGGTCCTGATGGAAGGAAGCAACAAGTTGCACAGAAGGACATATGTTATGCTATGGATCAATAAACACATTGCAGACTCTCCTGCAACAGCGGCCAGTCGCTCCTTAAAGCTACCCAACAGACAGAATAGGTGTCAAACAGTTTGGTTACTTTTGTGCTGGTTTGTGCAGAAATTTTTTTATCTGTGCAGCTATGATTCTAAAGATATCAAGAAAAATGTTTCTAGTTTCTAGAGGTCATCAAAGGTCAATGGACATCAGTTCTTTTATAAACAGTTTATGCTAGTTTGTGCACTGATTTGAAGTCGTGAAAATAAGTGTTGATGATGACTGTCAATCATGAAATTGAGATAGAAACAGCAGACTAGAAAGTTAGCACACATTTTGCTCTAGTCCTACTTTTTGTAGGACTAGAAAAGCTACCCAACATTTTAAAATGACCTTTAGGAAGCTGAGATGAGCTTTTATGGCGTTACAAGCTCATAAAAACAACCAAATACTTTGTGAAATGTTCCCCCAGAATTTTCAGAACAACTTTTTAATCCATCAAAAGTTGATAGATACAGGATAGTTCTATAAATAGTGGCACATATTTGTAGAACTATGCTACCTCAGTTCTTCAAATGCTGAAACAATTAATATTCACAAATTTTGCCAGATACTTTGCCTTCCTTTTTCTATTTAAATGAACCTCCAGCTGCTGCAGTCAGTGCTAATATGCCCCAGAGCCTCATTCGCTTTCAATTCATGAGGAAACTTGACATTTCCATGTGCATATTAAAAAGAAAAATCCATATCCATATGAATTTAAAAATAGCCACAGCAATAGGGCTATATTACTAACTTTAATTAACCTTTTGTAAATCTTCTGTTGCCTCTGCAGTTTGTTTGGCAAGCTAGCAGGAGGTATTCAAACAAAACATAAACACAATTCCTAAAACCTCCAACCTTTCTAAGCAATTTTAATATATTGAATCCTAATTGTAGAAAGAAAGAAAGAAGGAAAATACACTTCTGTACGTTCCATAGGTCTTATTCAGCTGATTAATTTCAACCACTGCAGACATTGAGTCCACAGATAAAATGTAATTTCAAGTAATAAGCTACGTGTAAAAACTATGAAAAAAATAAACATTGCATTGAGACATTACTTCCCATCATCCTGAATAAGCACAGGGGGGCAGTGGAGAGGAAGAACTCCAGTAAAAACAGGTTCAGGATGCCTTTACCGGCAGAAGCTTGAAAGCTTGTAAGACATTTAAAGGGACAGCATAATGCACATTTTTTTTTTCAGCTTTAAATCATTTTATAATGTTATTCAATCTTCCAAAACATACAGGGAGTGTTGTCTTAATTCTTCCATGCATGTTTTTGAAATCCTTCAGTCTCCCATGGCAACCATGCAAACCCCTGGGTGGATCTACTTTTGTCTTTGAGGATGAAATTCCTCCTCTGAGCTGCAGCTTCCAAGCTTCTGCCTGAAAAAGCAGCCCTCTGACAATGAACTCCTTCAGACTAGCCAGCAGCAATCAGCAAACACCTGGTGGAACTGAGCATCTGCTGAGCTCCTTAAACGAGCTACTTCTCAGAGAAACGCTGGTAAAAACGTTCTGAAAGGATTAATAGAGGAGAGATGTTGTGATGACTTCTTGAAGGCGGAGTTTCAGAAAGAGCAGAAGCTTCTTAAAGAGACAGAGGCCCAATTATAAGGCATTGAATTATAAAGTAAGTCATATTTGATGTATATAGCATTTTTATAATAGCTGAAGGTAACAGTTACTTGATTGTGTTATAAAAGGTCACAATTTGCCTGGAAAACACATAATACTGATCCTTTCAAACGTCAGCATGTGGAGTTAAGATCATATGCTAACATTAAAACATTTATATTCGCATCCCTGCCAAAGTTTGGACATTAGGCATTTCCTAATAAACTTTTATATTAATACACAAACAAATGAATATAATTGCTTCTCATTCCTGGTGAAACATTTCTACTGTTTCTATTTAATCCAAGGTTATCTCTGCTTTGTTGTTAGCATATTCAGCAAACAGACGAGCATGCATAGATGCTTCCTGCCATTTCCATCACCTCATGTAAGCCATTACTAACTGGGCTGCAGGTAAAGATTTTAATTGACTAAAATCTGCATAAGCATTATGCATGTCCCCTACTATTCATGCTGTTCTTATCACACGCAGGACAAATGGACTACGAAGTTGTGTTTATGTTGATAGTTGTGTCCATGTTAGAAATATTCCTCATCAGAATAATTTGGGATGCATATTTTTAAAGTCTGTCAAACATCATAAATTTACCGAGCTCATTAGAAATAGGAACAATTATTTTACGTTGCATCAGTTTGGTTAGGGAGACTGGCAACATGGCTGCTTTCGTTTAAAGTCACGACGTTTAATTACTGACATATAAAATGTAAGTTTGTGAGGTTTCTTTGGGGTTTTGTTTTCTGTCCTCCAATACTGATCTGTGTCACAGGCTGGAGGCAACCAGACTCCTGGCCCTGAAAGCAGCCATGTGTTCATCTAGGACATGGTCCACATCCAAATGAGAAACCATCTGCAGCGCTTCAGCTTCATGTGAGACCGAGGACGCTAATTCAGAAATAACAATCGACACCAGCTTCAGTTGGGCAATAAAATAACTGCGAGTTATCCTCCTGCGTGGATTAAACGGGATTTGATTTTCAAAGATGTGGTTTGTGTTTAACAAGATGGTGGAGAGCGGAGCAGCGTTGAGACTGCTTTCACAATTTCCACTCTGACTGGATTATGTTTAGCGATCAAAAGCACCATTGAAGGCTAAACAGGACTGAACCTGACACAGTCTGGCACTCGGCCCATCTCTTCTAATCAGCAGCTTTTACGTTCCTGAGACCTTTGATGACTTTGGTTATTCTGCTTTTTCGCCTATCAAGTCACAGAACTTGCAACGCGAAATTATTTGCCACCCAACAGATGTTTTTCTTTTGCTTTTTTGGCACACAAAAAAGACATAACAGACACGGATCCTTCACAAATACAAATTACGGTTCCTTTTCTTTATTAATAGTAATAATGGTAATCTAAAATAAACCCGAAATTGTATGAAAATGAGCAAAATTTTTAAATGTTTTTTAATTATGTGAACAAACTTACTCGCACGTGATTTTTCTTGCATTTTCTATTTAACGGAAACTTTGCAACTGTGGAATTGAGTTTTTTAGACGTTAGCCAACGTTAATGGAAACACGTCCACTGACAGATTCAGAATACGGAACAGTGTTGCTGTATGAATGCTTGTTTGTATGTGTTTTTCTTCTTCTTATTATTATTATTAAAAGTAATATCATACATTTTCTGGAGCGTTTAAACCACTGTACTTCCTGTCGCGTCCTCCAGGCTGGGCTTCCCCATGATGGTGATGACGTGCCTCGTCGCCATGTGCTACCTGCTGGCCACACACATCGGCCTGGGATGGAACATGTGAACCACGCCGGCCAAAGAGACGGAGTGTATTGACACACCTGTGTGTATGTGCGCATATGTGTGTGTGTGTGTGTGTGTGTGTGTGTGTGTGTGTGTGTGTGTGTGTGTGTGTGTGTGTGTGTGTGTAGCCACTCCTCTAGGAGTTGCAGCTCACTTTAAGTGTGATGCGTAAGCTGACCGACCAATCAGATTACAAGCAGAACATGAAGCACTGCAGCTATGTTTTTTTTGTTTGTTTTGTTTTTTTTAAGCGTGGGAGACGTGTGGACCATCAGGGACAGATTTACACGAGTTTTGAACAAAAGCCGACTCTGAGAGAAGCGTTTCTTGGCTGCACTTCATATCTGTATTCGTGGTGCTACGGCGTCAGAGGGAACAGCAGCTGCCTGTCTGCTGAATCTCCTTTGGAAATCTGTTTACAAAAGACGTCAAATGATTTCTTCAATCACTTATTGTAACCCATTAATGAAAGACACAGCTAGAAACTGCTGGTTGATTGTTTTTACCAATCGAAACATCTGAAAAAAGGCCCAGTTAAAGGGATTTTATACCAGTTTGTGTTTCTATTTCACTGTTACGATCCCCAAATTTTCAAAGCAATGATTCGTTTTTCTGATTTCAACACATTCTCTGATTGTGTCTGGTTATTTTAACTGTACTGATTGGTCCCTGACTGGGTCAGTCACCCCGTCAAGCTCTGGTTGTTTTCTGTATTTATTGTACGGCTCAACAACACGAACGTCTTCTGTGTTCTCTGAATAAACGTTTCAGAAGACGAATAATAAATAATTTCTGGATTTTATTTCACTCTATGTGTTTCCCTTAAGCGGATGGAGAATGATGATACAGCATGGACAAACTAATTAACGTGTGAATTTAATTGTGTTTCTTATTTAATGGAAGCATCCCAATTGCAAAATTCTGGGGTCTTTTTCTCAACATTAGCGGAATATTGTCAGTTTTGCTCATGTTTGCAAAGGAAATGCAACCAGAGACTTCCCAAAAAGTCCTGTTTATTTAATTAACTACTTGATAAATTCTGAATATATCTTCTTTCTTCAAACTCCGATTATTCAATACCAATACTGAAGGCAGAATAATATGTTTGGCATTAGCAGAGAGAGTTTGCCAAGTTTTAATGGTCACAACCAACATGCTGAAGTGAGCTGCTCAACCAACCCAAAAATGAATACATGAATTTTTATTTCAAACGTGGCACCAATTAATGAACTGGCTTTCTGATTACACAGGATTTCCTGCCAAGATGCATTATTTGACTATTTTGACTTTCAGTGTAAAATATAGATTACAAAATGTGCTTAGGAAAACAGAAGCATCTCCTTGGATGTCAAACAGAGTTTTTAAAAAGTCTGACAAATATGCACCGAGTAGCGATTCAGTTTTAAAAAATAAAGTTAAAAAACAAAGTTGTTCACACCAACCTGGAATAAGTTGAGCCAGCGACTGGTCGGAGGCAACAGGTGCTGTTGAGGATTAAATAAAAACCTGAAGTGGGGAATCCACAGAAAGTCACTCAGCAACATTCTGCTTTTCATTTCAAAGGACCGAACCAGTGAAAACCTTTCAACCAAATTTACTGTCAGAAACTTTTCTTAAAACAAACAAACCAAAATGGTTCCTTCGTTTAGCCAAATGTCTTACATGAGCAAACCCTCCACAAATCCCTAACAATACAGCGCCAGCTTGTTGGCTCCACTATTTCCTGTAAACTAAATAAGCCACTCGCATTATGGTGGCCTAAATCAATAGCTGCCCCATTAGTTCAACAATGCAGGCGGAACTAATTGTATGGTAAACAATTTGTGGACATGTGGTAATGTCTTACTTTTATGGATTTAGAGAAGTGGGTCCAGACACAAAAAAGGTTTGGCAAAATAAAGATCTTCAATAGATGGGAACAATAATTTCAGGGAGACGGAACGAAGACATTTACAGGTAGAGCTGTATTTTAAATATGATTTTAGAGCAACAGAATAAAATGGGCTACATAAAAACGTGCACCACATTCTTTTAAAAGTTTTGAAAAACACGTCCCTCCAAAGGTTATTATGGTTGACACAAAATACCAAAAATGTGACAGAAATAAAAACAGTAATTGATGGAGGTAAACTATAACTGGAACTGTGTTGCACATTTGTAAACGTAAGACATACTAAAATTCAGGGGTGTAATTTTAGCGATTCTACAATATTTATTGATATTCTTTTCCTCAAAAATTATCGCTTTTTCATCCGCGATACATTAAATCTTACTTTGAGTTATATCAAATCCACATGAATTAAGTGACAGCTGTCACGCATGACATTGTTTATCCAGTTGCACACGTACATTTAAAATGACATGTAATGAAACGATCAGTTACCATTAATTAAATAATGAAATAGATCAATTACATTATCTAATGTAAGTAAAAAAGACCAAAAAGGTTCCTTTTCTGCACAACCAAATCCACAAATCCACTCAGTTAACATTTAAACAAAGCAAATGTATAAAAGAAGCAACATTTATTACACCATCAGTTCAGTTTAATCCCAGTCTGTGGAACAGTCACACTCACTTTGTCCGTCTAAAATCTTTCAGAAAATTGTACAAATTTATCAAATCATGTCGTTTGTGATAAATATCGTATCGTGGTAATTTTAGCTGCAGAATTAAAAAAGGTCCCCGACCTTTGAAAGAACAAAAATTAAGACTATAACAAAACTAAATTAACAATGAAATAACACAATCCTGATCCCTTCCTCTTCATGATCACGCATTACTTTGTGTTGGTGTATCAAATTAAGTCCCAAGTCTGTGCTTGTAATGTGACAAAGTGATGAAAACTTAAAAGGTTAGGGATACAAGACACTGTAATCCGTGTGTGTGTGTGTGTGTGTGTGTGTGTGTGTGTGTGTGTGTGTGTGTGATATTGAAGCTACTTAGAAAACCAGATTAATGTGATGAATCGGCCTGCAGAAAATGTGGAATTTTGATGACTGGCTGATAATCTGACTGAACGAACTTATTAAAAACTGGTTGAATGGGAAAATTCATTAGGTTTTCCTCAAACAAGTGTCTTCTTTAAGATTCCTGTTCATTAAGTAGGGATTAAACATGTTCTGGCCTCTGTAATTAAGACAAGGAGTGAAGGAGCTTAGTGGGATTCACTTTAAAGGTTTTGTTTTTTTTAAATCCTCACCTTACACACACACTTTCACAACGGGGAACATTTGTGTCTCTTTCTGTGGAGGTTGTAGTGAAACCACGGCGTGTGTTGCAATCCGAACAATAAAGTTGTCTTCAGCGTGTCGTTAGGGGTGGAAAGTGTCACAGCTGTGGAAAACATAACAGAAACAGCGAGCGTACAGAGAGGCTGCAAATGAGAAAAATTAATGACTGCATTCTCCGGCCCAGATATTAGAACACCTCAGGCTATTCTTAGACAGCATAACTCTCACAGACAAACTACACGAATAAGCTCCACTGGAGGAAAACAGCAGGTACAGTTTTCTCGTTGTTTTATGTGTGAAAGACTTAAATATGTACTTTATTAGTCACCTGTAAAGGGACTTTAGCATTTCTAATTACGTCCAAATAGATCTCTGTGTTGAACCTGCCTAACCACGTCCGCAGTTTTCTATTTTTTATTTTTGGGGAATGATGCCCAATCCAGCACAGTGATAAACCCCTTCGACTTGGCGCCTTATCTGCCTGATCTCCCACTGTTTCTCCCCAATCAAGATTTGGTTCCATCTGTCTGCTGCACTTTTCATTTCCTCTGCTCCTCCCGTCCACCTCCCTTTCTTCAGAAGCTGCTCGTAAAAAAAAAAAAAAAAAAAAAAATGTTGCAATCGCATGCCAGCCAAAGTTTAATTAAATCTTTTAATTCATTTATTTATTTTGTTTTTGTCTGATGAGTATGCCAGATCATCACATGTCATTCATTAACTGATTTTTTTGTGCTCAGACATGGTACAACTGGTAAGCTTTAAAATGAGATATATCGTCATTATTTCCACTTTTTCCAACACTGTAACTGCTTTTTTTTCCTTCTTCTTTTGCAGCATTGCTTACGGTGGCTTTACGGTGCTGCTACTGTTGAAAGGTTAGGAGTTCACCTTGAGTTTTTCGAAGAGGTATCTAGATCTCTTTCCATCTCATTTACTGTCACAGTCTCTTAAACACCAGAGGTCTGCAGCTAGTTAAAACATCACGGGTTGGTTATGTTTCTGATTTTTGTTTTTGATTTGTGTCTTAATATCTAAGTTCCTCTCAACATTTAAACTACATTTGCTCATGCGGTTGATGGCCATTGACTACATTTTGACCTTTCAAGTGATTCATCCAACCATTTGAAATAAATGAAATTACATGATCGGAGCCAAAAAATCTGAAATATGTAAATGACCTACATGGTAATATATCATGGCTGTAAGACGAGAAACAACCATGTCAGAGAAGAAAAACATTACACTGCGCATGCCCCTGAACGCACCATCTCCATGATGAAACGTGGCGGCGGCAGCATGCTGAGCTCGATGGGAAGATGGATGGAGGTTCATGCTGCAAAAGACGTGAGGTTGGAACGGTCCAGTCAAAGGGAGCAAAGATTGAGTGCCATTTGAATTCAAATGGCATCTCAAGACTTCAGTCCGATTGGCAGGTTCAGCCAGACTGGAGGACGAAATCTGACACACCTCATCATGACGCCTCCATGAACGGAAACTCTTAACTCCACTCAGCTCAGAAACTTACCAGAGCTGTTTGTGATAATAACGTTGCTGCTCCTGCCATTCAGGCGGCATTCCCTCATTGTTTCCATTTCAACCCACCAAACAGGACGTTTCACAGCTAATGGCTGTCGTGCCTCTTCGTGGTCGGACCGCGGTCGCGATCAGCGCCGATCAAAACTCACACGCATTGTGCTGTTGTGTTCAGTAATAACGCGCCATTTGCATATCTGTGACAGAAACGTATTAAAGTCTTTATGCCTTATTGTTTATAAGAATGTATGAGGTGATGGGAAGTAAGGCTGCCTGGCATCGACTTAATTGGATTTCTTATCTCAGCATTGTGTGCTTGATGAAACAGTCCACGGGTGCGAGCACAGAAGTCACGAGTCAAGCGGGCTTTAACTTTTCGAAACTGTTTTCCTCATTCTTGTGGTCAACAGTCGTTTGATCAGGTTGATGTCATTTATCTGCCGATTAGGGAGCACTCACAGGCTTCCTAAACGGGTCAATTTTAACTTTAAAAAGTTTCTACAAGGTGTCTGTTGAGATACTGAGTCAAGCTACTAATTGAGTCGACATTCAAAATCTGATTTTGCAACATTTGTTCTGCGGTACGGAGGAGTGAAAAACAATTTCCCCTCTTTGGGAATTCCTCATTTTTTGCGAGTTTGTCCTTCTTTCGAGTTCGGCACACCGAACTACTTTAAATATTAGTGGAAGACAACACATGTACACAAAAAGTGTAGTTTGTAAATGAAGGTGTTTGTTGTCAAGGGAGAAAATCCAGCAAAGAACAACAAAAAGCGATGAGCTTAAACCGTGAGGCAGCGGTGGAAAACGACTGAAGAACAGATGAACTGATCAGAGGAGATGAGGAACAGCTGCGACTGGGAGGAAACCGTAAAACAGAGGGAGGAAAACTAATTAACACAAAGCAAACTGAAGAGCTACCAGCCTAAAAGGAAGAAGCCTGGCAACAATGTGAGAAAAACAAAATATATAAGAAGCAGAAGAGATAAAACAATAAGGAGCCCAATTTGTGCTCTCATTGCAAATGTGCTCAAAA